GCGAGTGGAGGGGGGATGAGAGGAGAGGGGGTGAGAGGAAAGGGGTTGAGAAGAGAGGGGGGTGAGAGGAGAGGAACGTGGTCCTGACCTGACACTTTTAGGTGGGTGCAATTAAGAGGCCCTTTGGTTCCAAGGACAGCAAGAGTAGCAACCTTCTACTTAGCGGGATGCATGCGCTGGTAGTGCGGGATGCAGTGGGTGCTGGTAGTGCGGGATGCAGTGGGTGCTGGGCTGCAGCAGGCGTGGCGTAGCAGGCAACAGCAGAAGCAGCAGAGGGCAGAAGGGCGGCCTTACCTGTAATGTGGTGGGGAGGCGGGCTCGGGGGATGGGGATGTGCCGACATGTGAAGGGAGTGTCTGATTTCATCTAGCTTTCCTGTCTCTTGTCTTCCCCTCCTCCCCCCCACCCCCCTTTTCCAACCACCCATCGCCCTGACTGCCATACACTTGCTCGCTCATGATTCACTCTTCCACGCTGTCTGTTTCTTCTCTCCTTGCATTACTGTGCCATGCCCTTCCTCTTTCATTCTTTCTCATTTCTCTTCCGTGTCTGCTCTTTCTTCTTTGTCCTTTCTCCCATGTCCATTTCCCCATTCTAACTTGCTCCTCAATCTGCTGTCCGCTGCTATTGATACTGCTGCCTACTGCTGCTGCTGGCAGTGACATCAGCATGAACCGGTTCACTGGTAGCCTTCCCGACAATCTAGGGGGCCTCACGGGACTGCTCACCCTGTAACCTACCAGGCGCCTTTGCCTCCGTTTGCATGCTCCTTTGTGTTAATCTCTATACACTTCCATCAAAATCCGTTTACACACTCCCTCCCGCGCTGGTTCCTATCTGTATCTGGTCTCACCTTTCAGTCGTCCTCCTTTCTCATCTCAACTTTGCCATCACTGTCACTGCCATTCGTTTTCACATTCACGTGACGGTATGGTGGTGTGCTGCTGAGTATTCTCAAAAGTGTTTCACACCGTGACTGACTGTACTGCCTGACTGTACTCTATGGCAGTCTGGCGTTCTATAACAAGTTCGTGGGGCCCATCCCTCCCTCCATTGGCGGCTGTCGCTCCCTGTCAGCTTGTAAGCACGCTCACGCTCACACCCTGCTTGCACCCGTGCCATGCACACATGTACTGCACATACATACACACGCCCGTGCACCCATGTACACAATACGTCCATGCATACCATGCACTAGGCAGGAAAATCAGCGGGGTACCCTTTTGTGATATTGCCAGTCTGGCTGGGTTGGGTTGGGTTGTGTGAGGTACAGCACGGTCAAGGATTGGATAACACAGCTCAGTAAAACTAACGTGCAGTGTGATGTGCTAGTGGCTGGCAGGAAGATGCATGATGATGGGAGGCAGGTATGATGCAAGCTGCGTACTACTCCTATGTGCTGGTGTGGTTGTTGCGCTGCGTTGCGTTGCGCTGCGTTGCGTTGTGTGTGTGTGTGGTGACCTGATGGTGGGAGTGCAGGAAGCTACATGCCAACAACTTCAGTGACAGCATCCCATCCACCATATCAGGCCTCACGTCTCTCCTCCGCATGCTGTGAGCTACCTGCTAGCCTACTTGCACTCCCTCCCTCCTGCTCTCGCTCTTGCACATGCTTCCTCTCGTGCACATGCTCGCTCTTCCTCTCTTGCGCAATCTCTTTCTCCACCTTTGCACGCCCTCTCTCCCCCTCTTGCTCGCTCTCTCCTCCCCCCCCTCCTTGTCACACTCTGTTTCTCCATCTTTGAACTCTTTGCCGCTCACACTCTCTCGTCCAACACCCTCTCTGCCATACCTCCTCATCCTTGCCCCATCTATCCACACACCCCAAACAAAGAATGAACCATTCACCCAACCCCCCCCCCTTCGCCCCCTTTCCCTCCCCCCCCACTCATTCTCAGCTCCCTTTCCCCATCCCTTGCTCGCAACTGTCCCATTCCTGCACACTCACCTGCTCCTGTCTACTCCCCTCTCCCCTCTCCCTCTCCCCCTCTCCTCCCCACCTCTCCGCATGGCACCAAGCAGGCAGCTGTCCAGCAACAGCCTGACGGGCAGCCTGCCAGATACCATCAGCGGCCTCAAGTCCCTCACCTTCCTGTACGCATGGACCGTGCACCATGCACCATGCACCATGCACCATGCACCATGCACCATGCACCATGCACCATGCACCATGCACCATGCACCATGCACCATGCATCGTGCGCCATGCACCATGCACCATGCAGCATTCACCAATCACCATGCACCATGCACCTTTCACATCCACCATGCACCATCCACCTTTCCATTCTTTAGCGTTCTTTTCCCCCGTTCCCCTGCGCTCTCTCTCTACGTATCACCACTGTTTGTGCGCCATTGCAATCTCGCTTCACACATATCTCTATCCCCTTCCTGCCCAATCTCTTTGCACTTTTCCTTTCCTGTTCCCCTGTAGAGCTTTCTGACGCCTTTTCCCTTCATCCATCGTTCTTTTCATCCCGCTGCCTACCTACTCCTGCCTTTTCTCCACCCTTCCACTCATTTCCTTCTCCTGTGCATTGTCTCAATACCCCTCTCCCGGCGCACTGCTGCCATGCCTTACTGCCATGCGGTACCATACTGCCAGGATGTGAGTCAGAACAATCTCAACGGCTCCCTGCCCTCATCACTAGGGGAGATGACGACACTCCAGCACCTGTGAGTCACTGCAGCACCTGCCACTCATCACTGAGTGCATTCAAGCACAGCACACTTGTTTCTCAAGATCTATAATACGGTTTGGGTACCCTTGGCGTTTCACCCGTGCCGTGCTGTAGTTAAGGGCCATTGCCTATCGTCTTTCCCAAGTCCTCAATCCTCCCATCCTTCGTTCCAGCTGCCTCTCCCGTTCTCACCCATTATTCGTCCCCATGATCCCGTGTGTCCGCTCCCCATCCGCCCTACCTGTCGGTACAGGGATGCGAGTGTGAACGATCTATCTGGCATGCTGCCGACCAGCATCAGCGCCATGCAATCCCTGCAGCTCCTGTCAGTTCCGCTCTCCCTGCCCCCTTCTCCCTGCCCCCTTCTCCCTGCCCCCTTCTCCCTGCCCCCTTCTCCCTGCCCCCTTCTCCCTGCCCCCTTCTCCCTGCCCCCTTCTCCCTGCCACCCACCTGTCCTTCGCTCCCAGTTCCAGTTCCAGTGCCCTTGCCCTTGTCCTTTGCCCCATGCCCCAGTCCCCTCTGCCCTGCCCCTTCCCCCCCTGCCTCATCCTGTCCTTTGTCCCTTACCCTCTCCACCTCGTCATCTCCTCTTGTCCTACCCTTCAAACTTTCCCCAAACCCTCATCTCCTTCCTACTTTTTTTCCCCTCCCCCATCCCCCTCCCTGTGCTCACAACCCTTTGTCCCCCTGCCCCCTCCCCCTCCCCCCCCCCTCCCCACCCCATGGCCTCTTCTACCGGCTTCCCTTCTTGTACCAGCGATCTCTCTTACAACGCCTCTTCTACATCATCCAGCCTGTCCGCGGCCCTTCCATACCTTTCCTCGCTCACCACTCTGTACGTTCTCCTCCCGGTTGTTTTTGAGAATCCTCGTTATCACCCCTCTCCTTACTCACCACTCTTTTCTGTAAGGTAGGGTTCTCCTCGCCTCCCCTGTGCTTCCCCTGCCTCCTCAGCCGCCCCATCCCCTTGTTTTGCGTTTCTGTGAGTGTGACACTTCCATTCGTCTGTTGACGAGCGCTTTTTTCTCCCTAAAGCGCATCGCACAAGTGCCCGTGAACGTTGTCACTAGATATGCTTGCCTGTTACAACCAGCCTTTTCATGGACGGATCTTACTGGACAAACTAGGCTTTAGAAAGTCAGGTGTGGCGAATTGAAGCGTCTGATCATAACAAGAGCAGGAGAAGGAAGCAGGACGGAGGGAAGGGAGGGAGTAGATGAGGGGAGGAGCATACAGCGTGCTATGTCTGGGACCTGTGTGCACGCATGTATACTGGCTTATGTGTTCTTCTCGACACCCCCTTTCTGCTCCGTTGCACTTCTTTTTTACTCATATCTTATAGTCTCTCCCGTTTTTCTCTTTTTCTCTCCTTCGCTCTCTCTCGCATTTCCTCTCGTGTTGTGTGTGTGTGTGAGAGCAGGGATTTGAGCCACAATAAGATCCAAGGTGCTTTCTTGCCAGCAGTGGCGACAATGCCCAAGCTTTCCATTCTGTGAGTCAAGTCCTCTGATTTGATCTGATCTGATTTTCAAAGCACACGGCACAGTCACACCAGTCGCACCTCCTGCATGCACCAGACTGCCCTGCACTGCACTGTGGTACTCGTCCCCTCCGCCACCCCTCCCATTGCGTTATAATCTCACTTGGCACATGTCGCTCCCTCCCCCTTTGTCTGTCAGTTGCACTCCACTGCACCCCACTGCACCCCACTGCACCCCACTGCACCCCACTGCACCCCACTGCGTCCCACTACACCCCACTGCAGTGCACCCGACTTTGCCCGTTATAACCATTGGCATCCCTGTTGTTCACGTGTTGATTCTGTTCCGACTTTCTTCTGCGTCTCTTTCCTTCGCTTCTGTTCTCTTTTCCCTCCCTTTTTTTCCCTTCCCTTTTTCCTCCCCTTTTTCCCTCCCCTTTCTCCCTCCCCTTTTCCCCTCCCCTTTTTCGCTCCCCTTTTTCCCTCCCTTTTTCCCTCCCCCCCACAGCAAGCTCAAGGCCAACTCCTTGGAAGGCTCTGTCCCCACTTCCCTTGCTCCTCAACTATGCATCATTTCTGTGCGTCCTCCTCATCGCCTCCTGCCCTTCTTCCGTGTAACTTTACGCTGTTGTGCTGTGTTCTTTCTTTTCCCTTACATGCTGTTCTCCTTGTGCCCCTCTCCCTTCACTCTCGTGTCTCCCCTTCCCCTGTTTCGCTCAAAGTGTGGTTCTTTACCCTTCTCTTTTCCCTTCCCTTAGTGCTGCATGGAGTCTGTATCAGTATTTTTACTATCTTTCCCTTTGAAACGCCAAGTGCTAAACACAAACGTTTCTACAAGTGCTTCATTCATTTTTTTTGGGCAGCCTGACCGTACAAGTTCTTCTAGCAGTAATCCTAGTCACGAGAAGTCGTTTAGGGTTCTAAACACTTTCATTCAAAACCCAAAACGCGCTGGTTGGTGGTCACTTAGCTTTCACCGGCATCACCCTCATACGCCAAAACCGGCCATTGCCTTTAAGCTAATTCCCTCTGTCCATGTGTGTGTGGATGCATGCACGCACATACCCACACACACACGTGTTCATGTGCAAGCTGTGTTATAGTACGCGTGCACTCATTTGCATGCCTTCCCCCTGTGCTGTCTTCCCTTGCCGTCTCCCCATGCCTCCAGTGATGTGAGCTCCAACGCTCTAGTGGGCCCCCTGCCAGTATCCTATTTCAGAATGGACAACCTCACATACCTGTACGCCCCTTCAAAATGCACAACCTCACGTATCTCCGTCTCCCTCCATCTCGCCTCGCCCCTCCCTCCATCCGTATCTCTCTCTGCTCTCCTTTCCACTCGTTTCCCACTCACCTCCCTCTGTCACACCCCATGCACATCCACGTCACACACCATGCACATCCACGTCACACACCATGCACATCCACGTCACACCCCATGCACATCCACGTCACACACCATGCGCATCCACGTCACACCCCATGCACATCCACGTCACACCCCATGCGCATGCACGTCACACCATGCGCATCCACGTCGCACCCCATGCACTCATCACACCCCATGCGCATCCACATCACACCCCATGCGCATCCACATCACACCCCACCATCGACTCAAAGCAGCAGCCATCCAACAAGTGCTCTCGCCCTGCTCTCCCCACGCGCCATTCCCCCCCCCGCCCCACCCATTCGCCCCCCCTCTCCCTGCCCCCTCTCTCCCTCCCCTCCACCAAACCGATCAGCTCGTTCGGGTTCAACAGCTTCACAGGCCGCCTGCCAAACTTCGCGGCTCTCACCAAGCTGCGCAAACTGTCAGTGCCTGTTGCCCCACTTCGCCTGTGCCTATGCCCCCCCCCTTTTGCCTTTTCCACATTTCCACATTCCGGTCCTGCCTCTTCACTTCCGGTTCTCTGCTCGTCTTGCAGCTTGGTCCCAGTCATCTTGCTTGTAGTGCTGTGCCCCTTGCACTACCATCATCGTCGCTGCCCCTAAACCCGAAACCTGTTTGCTGTACCCCCTTCGGCCCGCCCGCCCTTCTCTGTTGTTTGTGCACGGCTCGTCCCGCCCGCCCATCCTCTCTGTGTGTGCAGGATCATCGTGGAGAATCAGTTCTCAGGGCCCCTGCCCCCCACCTTCGCACCAAGCATCGTGTCTATGTGCGTACTTCCATCTGCTGTGCGTGCTTCCATCTGCTGTGCGTGCTTCCATCTGCTCCCTCTCTGTTCCCTCTGCTCCTTTCCCTGCGTGCTGCTCCTTCCCCTGCGTGCACTGCTCTTGTTCTCTGCCCCACATCTCTCGGCCGCCTTATTTTCCCCTTCTCTTTGCTCTCCCCGCAATCTCACACATCCTTTCTCGTCATCGTTTCCATGCCTTCTTTCGTGATTGTGTGTCCCTGCGTGTGTGTGTTTCTCGGGGAAGGGGAGGGAGGAGGGGGGTTGGTGTGTGCGTGCGTGCGTGCGTGCGTGTGCACGTGTGCCTGAGCTTGTGTGTCTGTGTGCGTGTGTGAGCCATCATCGGGTCATCTTGGATCATCTTGGGTCATCTTGGGTCATCTTGGGTCATCTTGGGTCATCTTGGGTCATCTTGGGTCATCTTGGGTCGTCATCGGGTCAACTTGGGTCATCTTTCAGGGAGATGCATGGCAACAGCTTCTCAGGGTCGCTGCCTAACAGCCTCTCTCGTCTCGTCAACCTCCAGTCACTGTCAGTCAGCTCAGCCCTCCCGCACTCTCTCAATCAACCCCTTTCCCTCTCACTCTTCCACTCCCTCACTCGAATTCTGCGCTGTCTATTTCCCCTCACACTCGCCGTCACTCTCAGCTTCTAACACTTTCTGTTGCTTCTGTGGATGGTATGATCTACCTAGCAGCATCCATCCCATATGCCTGTAGCTGAATTGATCGAAGCTTCTCCCATCCCACCTCCCATCCAATTTCCTTTCCTCACCACATCAATTCATCTCCCTCCCCCCACCCCGCCATCCCTTCTGGCCCTCCTCCCGCCCACTCTCTATCGTTCTCTCCCTCTGCCTCCCTCCCTCCTTCCTCCACCCGCGCCCCCTGCGCCCACGCACGCCCTCCCATCCCACGTGCTGACACCCCATGATATCAGGGACATGGCGCGCAACAACATCTCAGGCGGGTGCCCAACCTCCCTCAGGCTTTGTGCCGGGCCTCAACGATTTATTAGGCGCCTCAAAACCAACCCCCTCTGCATGCCATTCCCTCTCCGTCTCTCCATCCCACGTGCTGACCCCCGAACCTCAGGGACATGGCGCGCAACAACATCTCAGGCGGGGTGCCCAACTTCCCTCAGGCGGCGTCGCTAGTCTTTGTGTCGCTCGTCAACAACATGATCAGCGGGCCTGTCTCTCAGGACCTCATGAACCGGGCTCTGGTGGAACTCAGGTGAGCACACATGGAGCTCAGGTGGAGCTCAGGTGGAATAGGTATGGGGCTCAGGTCAGGTGGCAGTGGGCCGAGTCAAGGAAACTGACACGCTTGTTTCTCCGTTCACCTCCCCAAATTCTTCCAACCGTCCCGTGCCAAACCCCAAATCACCCGTTACCTTTCCCTTTCTAATAACGCGCCGAAACTCCTTCCTAGTCTCCCTTCCCAACCACCCTGTCCTGTCTCCTCTCCCTTCCAACACCCGTCCAATCTTCCCCCCAACACACCCAACCACCCGCCCATCACAACCCCCCCTTCACCCAGGCTGGCAGGCAACCCGTGGTGCCGGGACCCCGAGAACCAGCTGCTCTCCGTCTGCTCGGCGACCGTCAGCAACGCCACGGTGGAGTGGACGCCCCCGGAGATCTGCCCGGGGCTCACGTGCCGCAACAAGGAGACGCAGGCCGCCAACACTGCCATCTACTCGGATAGTGGCAACTGCGTGTGCTCGGACTACCTGTCGGTGACGCTGCTGCTCACGTCCGCGCCCTTCTCCGTGTTCACCAGCGACATTGCCAATAAGCTGCGCGCGGAGTTGGCCAACCGGCTCAGGAATTACATCTCCGGGGCGCCGCTGCTGGAGCAGTCGCAGGTGTGTGAATGCGGATGTTGGGGTGGGTGAGGGGGTAGGAATGGGTGAGTGAGGAGATGGGGTTTGGGGGTGGCCGTCGGTGTGGGAGTGGGTGAGAGGGTGGGAGTGGGGTTGGGGGTGGGAGTGGGGGTGGGGTTGGGAGTGGGGGTGGGCGTGGGAGTGGGGTTCAGCCCCAACTTACAAGCCAAGAATGCAAGGCAAGGCAGGTCTTCAAAACGGTGCTTTCCTGTGACGCAAGCATGGAATCGAGCCGTTTCCCTGCCTCCCTATCTCCAATTCCTTTCCAAATCTTCCATTTTCCCCTTTACCCTCCCCGGTCGCGTCCTCGCACCCTCGTTCCCTCTCTCCATTGCTTTCCCCGAGTGTGGGTGGCATCAGGGGTGCAGGCGAGCAGAGGGCGAAATTGGATCCTCGGAGATTGTTACAGTGAGCTGCAGTGATTAGGAGTCAACCCCTCCTGGTTGTAGCAAGTAGAAAAGCAGTGTTGTTGAAATTCTCCTGGAGCTGCACCTTTTTGTTTCACATAAATTGAGCCAAGCCCTGCGCTCCCTCCCTCCCTCCCACTCTCTCCCATCTTCTCTGCGTCTCGACTACCCCTCGCTCCCCACCCTTCCCCTCCCCCTCCCCCTCCCTCACCCCGCCCTCCACTGCTCCCCATTCCCACGCCCTCCTCCCCCGCAGGTGTGGGTGGCGTCAGCGGTGCAGGCGAGCACGGGGCAGGTGTTGGAGCTGCACTTCTTCACGGCGCAGGGCGGGCAGTGGGACGTGGCGGTGGAGTCCAACATCCTCAACCAGCTCTTCCTCGGCTCCAAGTACAACCAGCTCCTCGGCGCCGACTTCGGCCCCTATGTGCTCATCTGTCAGTGCTGCTTGCAGGAGGGAGGGGGGAAGGGGGGGGGAAGATGGGATGGGCGTGGGGATGTGAGGAGCTGAGGATGGGATGGGACAGGGGAAGCGGATGGGGGTAGGTGGGATGGGATGGGTTGGGGTGGGGTGGGATGGGACGGGACGGGATGGGATGGGATGGGATGGGATGGGATGGGATGGGATGGGATGGGATGGGATGAGATGGGATGGGATGGGATGGGATGGGATGGGATGGGATGGGATGGGATGGGATGGGATGGGATGGGATGGGATGGGATGGGATGGGATGGGATGGGATGGGATGGGATGGGATGGGATGGGATGGGATGGGATGGGATGGGATGGGATGGGATGGGATGGGATGGGATGGGATGGGATGGGATGGGGTGGGATGGGATGGGTCGCAGGAGGGATACTGTCTTGTCCGTTTCTGTAAATAAGAAACTCTCTTGCTCTGCCATTCCAACTCCCTTTCTCCTGTTTTTATGCACTCCTTCTCCCCATCCTTACATGTTTTTTTTCATTTCCTCTCCCCGAACCCCTTCGCTCCTCAACCCCTCCAGCCACACACTTCTCATGTTCTCTCCCCCAATCCCACCCCCTTCCCCTTTTCCCTCCTCTCCGCTTCTTTCTCGCCCCTCTCAATGCTCTCCCCTCGGCCCACTGTTATCATCTGCTCTCTTTCTCGTCCTTTGCCCCTCCTTGCACATCCACCCGCCCGTCGTCACACCTTGTCGTTCCCTCTGCTCCCGTGCAAACCCCCCCCTCCCGCCTCCCTTTTCTCTCCTCGCCCCTCTCACTTTTATTCGTACCTCTCAACCCTCACCTTCCCCTCGCCTTTCATCCCTCGCCTCTCACCCCTCACTTCACCACCCCTCCCTCACCCCTGCGTGCCACCACCAGCCTCGGCATCATCCACGCTCTACGGTCCCAATGATCCACCGCCCGGCCCACCACCTCCTCCTGGTATGCGCTGCACAGCCGCCCACCGCCATCGTATGGTCGCACTCACCTCATTCGTCTTCCTGGGGGTGCCCTCTCGATCCATTTTGCCATCTGCTCTCGACTCGGCTGCCCATTTGCCTGGCATGCAAGAACTCGTCTTCATCCATCCCATTGCCAGAACGCCACCACCTCTCTTCAGAACGCCTTTCTGTCATATCCTTCGGAACCCATGATCTTATGTGCCCCTGAACGCCTATCATCCCCTCTCCACTACTCAACAACAATTCTCTCATCCTCTTTCTTTGTGCCCTCCCTGTTGCTCCTGTTTGTCTGCCATGTGCCGTATGCCTGCAGATTCGTCATCCTGTAAGCCTCTCTCGCTCTCACCCACCCTCCCATCCCCATGCCCCTGCGTGCTGCCCTTCCCCTGCATTCTCTCCCAATCATGCCCTCATGTCTCCGTATTGCCACCACTCTGTCGTTGACCTCCTTTCTTTCCCTCTCTGCTGCATGCTTGGTGCCATTATCTCACTCCATATTTGAGTTTTTGAGATCGTTCTGCGTGCCTTTTTTTTTTGTTCCGCTTCCCACCTGCCCCGCACCTCTCTTCTCCCCTTGACTTGACCAACTCTCCCCCTCTTCCCTTCCTGTCCTGTCTCAAGTCTCTGCCTCCAATCTGTTCTCTCTCTCCCTCTCTCTCGCGCTCCATCCTTTCCTTCCTTCGCATCTCTCTCTGCCCTCAACTATTTTCCTCCTCTTCTCCCTCCGTCCATGCCTCACCCAATCCCATGCACCCCTCTCTCCGCGCTTCCTCCCTTCTCTCTCCCTTCTCTCGCCCCTATCCATCCCCTCACCATCCCGGTCGCCCTCTCCCTCTCCCACCGCACAGCCTCCAATTCGTCCTCAAATTCGTCTGAGAGTGGAGGAGGCGGGCTGGCGACGTGGGTGATAGTGGTCATAGTGCTGGTGGTGCTGCTGCTCCTCACAGTCATTGCTGTACTCGCTGTGCTCTACTCGCGTGCACGCAAGACCAAACCACCCACCCCGCCTGCACCGCTCTGTACGTCTCTGACTCTCTGCCATGTCCTCTCTCTCCTCGTTTGCGTGATTTTGAAGGAACGGGCCTTGCATGCATGCATGCATGCCTCTCTTAGTATGCTGTGCTTTCCTTCCTTGCCTCCTTCCTCTGTCTGTAAAAATCAGATTACCAGCTGCGTCACTCATCTTGTCCTTACAGTGCCCCTTCATTCTCGCTCTTCCTCCCATACGCTCTTCCCACGTCCTCATCTCTTCTGTCTCCCCCATTCCCCCCTCCCCCCTCCCCCCTCCAACCTGCTCCATGCCAGCCCCCAAGGACTACTCATGCCTGTGCGACCTGTCGATCATATTGCACGGCCGCTTTGCGAAGGCCGTCAGCCTGCCAGTCATCCTGGAAGCATCTTAAGTTGACTCTGAACTCATCCCCTTCCCTCAATCTCCCCCCTCGCCCCGCTTCCCCCCCTTTCCCCTCCTGTTCCCCCTCCTTTCTCTTTTTCCCCTTCCCCCTCTTTCTCCCCTCCCATCCTTTCCCCCTCCCCCTCTTTTTCCCCCTTCCCCCTCTTTCCCGCTCCCCCCTCCCCAGCCCCCAAGGACTACTCACGCCTGTCCGACCTCTCAATCAAGGTGCAGGACCACTTCGTGAAGGCAGTGAGCCTGCTGGTGATCCTGGAGGCGACGCAGAACTTCAGTCCCTCGCAGCTGCTGGGGGAGGGCGGGCACGGGTCCGTGTAGGAGGTTTAAGATGTCCCAAAACCTTCCACTCTCTCTCCTCTATTTCCCTCTCCCCCCTCCCCTCCTCCCTTTCTCCCCCACCTCCCACCTTCCCCCTCCCCGCTTTTCCTTCCTCCCTCCTCCCCTCTTCCCCGCTCCCCTCTCCCCAGCCCCCAAGGACTACTCACGGCTGTCGGATCTCTCAATCAAAGTCCAGGACCATTTCGTGAAGGCAGTGAGCCTGCCGGTGATCCTGGAGGCGACGCAGAACTTCAGCCCGTCGCAGCTGCTGGGGGAGGGCGGCCACGGGTCTGTGTACCGCGGGCTGGCCCCCACGGGGCACACGTGGGCTGTCAAGCGCAGCAAGATCGTGAACCTTAAAGGGCTGCAGCTGTTCCAGAACGAGGTGAGAGGCGAGGGAGAGAAGAGGGTGGGAGGGGGGAGGGGAGGGGGTATTGGAACGAGGTGCAAGAGGGGCAGACTGATGGGAGGGGAGGTGAGAGGAGGGGAACGGGTGAGAGGGGAGGTGAGGGGAACAGGGGAAAGGATGGGGGGGGAAAGAGGAGGGGAGGAGAGGGACGGGGAGGGGTGGGAAGGAAAGGGGAGAGGGGAGGGGAGGAGTGGGGGCAGGATGGCGAGGTTGTGAGTTGTGTATGGTGCTTTTGTTAGCTCTGATTTGAGCCTTGACTGTGCTTAGAAATGGCAAAGGAACAGCACAACAAGGGCAGGTGATTTTTGAAAAGAGGGAGAGGCTGGGGGTTGAGAGTCTGATTTAATCGAGTTCTGCACAGTGCAATGCAAAATCACTGCCCTCTTGCTCCCCCTCTCCTCTGTATGGTTGTCCGTGGTCCTGCCCCTCCTACCCCGCCTCCCACTCCGTCTCATCTCTCTGCTTTCCCCCCACTCCCTTATAGGTGCACAACGGACTTCAGGTGTCGCATCGCAACTTGGTGAAGCTGGGTGCAGGTGTTGCACTTGAGATTCTACAAAAGTCTTTCTTGCTCCTCCCACTCCTCCCACTCCTCCCCCTCTGGCCCTCCTCCCCCCTTGTTGGCAGGTGGACAACCTGTCCAAGGTATCGCACCGCAACCTGGTGAAGCTGCTGGCGTACTGTGACGAGGCGAACGAGCAGATCCTCGTGTACGAGTTCGTTGCCAATGGCAGCCTGCAGGAGCACCTCCGCCCCAAGGAAGGTGCGCTGCTCTGTGCTGCGTGCTGTGTGCTGTGAGCACGGCATGGCACGCTGCTGTACTCTGTAGCAGCACAGCACGGGACAAGTTCTTGCGCACATGCTCTGTAGCAGGCTTTCACGCTCGCACTGCTTGTAGTCCTCTGTTGCTCTCCGTATTCCTCTCTTTCCCCTCCCTCCTCTCCATCTACCACCTCTCGCCTTTCATCTCCCTGCCTTAGCTCTCCCTCTCTTCCTCTCTCCCCTCTCCTTCTCTCCCCCTCTCCCCCTCTCCCCCTCTCCCCCTCTCCCCCTCTCCCCCTCTCCCCCTCTCCCCCCCTCCCCCTCTGCCCCTCTGCACCTCTCCCTCTTCCCCCTTCCCCCTCAGGGCACCCGCGGCCGCCATTAACACTGGAGCAGCGGGTGGACATAGCGATCGGGTCAGCGGAGGGGCTGCACTACCTGCACTCCTTCGCCAACCCCGGCATCATCCACCGCGACGTCAAGTCCGAAAACATCCTCCTCACTGACAATCTCGAGGTGCGTGCCGACTCTCTCTTTCCATTCCAACCATGCCTGCCTGCCTGCCTGGCTGCCTGGCTGGATATGTTCCTCGCTGCCTGGTTGGCCCCTCTCTCTCCTCTCCCCACTCTCTCCTCTCCCGCCCTCCCTCCCCCCACCATGCACAGCCGCGGCTGGCGGACTTCGGCCTGCTGAAGAGCCTCAAGGAGGAGAACCGGGACGAGGCGGTGAGCACGAGGGTGGCGGGCACGCCGGGGTACATGGACCCCGAGTACTACAAGACCTTCAAGGTCACCACCAAGAGCGACGTGTATAGGTGTGTGTGCCTTCCCTCCACTAAGATCCGCGCACTCAACGATCTCCCTCCCTTTTCTCCGTCTCTCTTGGTGCGTGCGACCTGTGCTCCTTTGCTCTACTATGTCTTTCCACTGCACACTGTTAAAGTCGTGGCTTTCTTTCCCCCCTCAGGACTTTCCTCTTGCTGTGCTGTCGTCAACCGTTTGTTCCTTCTCTTCAATTTCCAGTTCATCTCCTTTCCATCATTCTTTCCCTGTGCACCTTCTACTCCCCTCCACCATCCCGTCAACCCGCATCCCATTTGTCCACTCACTGGCCGCGCCCTGTGCCCCTCCCTCGCCCCTGGCCAGTTTCGGGGTGGTGTTGCTGGAGCTGATAACGGGCAAGCCGCCCGCCATGAACAAGTCGCAGATCTCGCACGTCTCGCACTCACAGTTTGACAACCACCAGCTCATCACCATCGCCGAATGGGTCAGTCCCTGTCCCTGCTCTGCTCTTCTCTCCTTCGCTCGCCATTCATCCTGTGCAGTGCTTGGGTTTGGGTTGAGTCCCTCGTCAGGCTGCTACCGTCTGTGCCAAATCAACCTTTTCTTTGCGTACTGTTAGGTGATACTGTACGTTGCTCGTCCTGATATCCTCTGCCCCCCTGCTCCTTTCCCCAAACCCTGTTTCCCCCCCTCCCATCCACTCCCGTGTTCTTTTCCACCTGTCTTGTCCACCACACCCGCTCACACCACCACTCCTCTCCTCTCCCCCTCACTCCCCTCGACCGCACAGGCCTTCCCGCTGATCGTCTCAGGCGATCTAGACCTGGTGGCAGACCCGCGCATGGGACCCAACTACTCCAAGGAAGCCCTGCGAATGATGGCCACCGTTGCGCTGCAGTGCATCCAGCGCAGCAGCGCCGACCGCCCTGACATGGGGGACGTGGTGCGGCTGCTCTCAGAGATCCGCTACGAGGTGCGCGGAAAGCGCCCCGCCACCGCGTTCCTCCCGACGGGCGAGACGGATTATAGCGGCGCGCCGCTGGTGCCGGAGGGGTACTCGGGGATTAGTGACACGATTGAGATTACCGCCCCCACGTCGATCATTCCGGGCGGAAGGTGATTCGCTGGAAGGTGAAGGGGTTCCGTTTTGGGTGCACGAGGGTACCGTATGGTGTGAATTTTCCGGTGGAGTGGGAATTGCGGCAAAAGAAAGGTAGGATAGGAGCCAAGCACATGCACCTGCAGTCAAGGTGACTTGGAAAGTGGCCACGGCATGCTTCATCACAGAAAGTGGTCAGACAGAAGTGCTCTCTACATGGCACATTAAGGGGCAAGTGCAGGTGGACATTGCTCTTTCTTGCAGTGCCATTGTAGGCACCTCGGCCTGTAGCATTGTCACCGAGGTCGACAGAATAAGAACAAACGCAACGATGCTTACGAATGCACCATGTTTGCCCAGAATGCCGAGTGTGTGCAGCTTAGACGTGGATGTTTCGTGCAGGCTAGGCAGTGAATTTCTGGGCATTGGTGGGCACATTGTGGTCATGTAAGAATTGCGGTTACACAATGTCTGATTGAGCTGGAATTGCTGAAGCGTCTGAGTTTATGATACAATATTGGCTTACAGCTGTATTCTTCGTACTGGATTATTGGTGGTACGCCTTCATTTCATTGAGATCCCAAAGCCCGGTGCTGTCTTAATTTAATCAAAAAGTGGTTATATACCGTATAGTTCCGGTTAGAAGACCCGCCGGTAAGGAGGTCCCCTGGGACTCTTGAACGGGTAGGGGGACTCTTATTGTGGCAGATATTGTGAGGACCCCTCCCTGGCCTCTCATCATCGTGACCCGTTCTCCGTTCGAGCCTCCGTTGTCCCCTCCTCCTTCTCAGACTTGGGCCTCTCGTCGCTCCCCTCGTGCTCGTCCCTCGTCTCCTGTTCCCTTCACTGACCTTCGTACTGCCTTACTTCGTTCTAGTCCACCTCGTCCGTCTCCGTCTGTGCTTCTGAGTCGGCTCTCACTGCGTCACTCCCTACTCCTGTCACTGACTACTACCGCACGTACCGTCCTGTTCTCTCTCGTGTTCTCGCCTCACTTGTTACTCACCCTCGTGCCTCTGTGTCCTCTGTGTCCGCTCTTACTGCCGCAGTCACTGAGTTTGCCTCTACCCGCCGCCTTGACTTCGCCACCGCTCTTGTGGCTGCTCCTCCTTCCAGTCCTCTGGCCGTCGGGGGTGTGTCTGCCCTTGGCTGTGACGCCCTAGAGGACAGGCAGTTTGAGCTAGAGTTCCTGGCGGCCGCTTCCCCTCATCTCTGTGCCATGCTCCTCGCCCCTGAGGGTGACCCCGACGCCCTTGACATTCCGACTCCTCGCACTTACGCTGAGGCAGTGTCAGGGCCTTGGGCCTCTCAGTGGAGAGCTGCCATGGACGCAGAGATGGCCTCCTACAGATCCACAGGCACCTACGTCGATGAGGTTCCCCCTCCGGGGGCGAACGTAGTCGACGGCATGTGGATCTACAGGGTGAAGCGGCCACCGGGATCTCCTCCGGTCTTCAAGGCGCGCTACGTGGCTAGAGGTTTCAGTCAGCGTGAGGGAGTTGACTTCTTTCAGACCTTCGCGCCCACCCCGAAGATGACCACTCTTCGGGTGTTACTACACGTAGCAGCACAGAGAGACTACGAGTTACACTCTCTCGACTTCTCTACTGCTTTCCTTCAGGGCAGTCTTCACGAGGAGGTCTGGTTGCGTCGTCCCTCTGCCTTCACTGGCTCTTTCCCTCCTGGGACCCAGTGGAGGCTGAGGCGACCGGTTTACGGTCTTCGTCAGGCTCCTCGTGAGTGGCACGACACCCTGCGTTCTACCCTGTCTGACCTTGGGTTCCAGCCGTCTTCTGCTGACCCGTCGCTGTTCGTTCGTCGTGGCACCACACCTTTCTTTGTTCTGGTCTACGTTGACGACCTTGTTTTCGCCACCCCTGACAGGGTTGCTTTGGCACACGTGAAGTCCGAACTGCAGAAGAGACACACCTGCACTGATCTTGGTGAGCTGCGCCACTACCTTGGCCTGCAGATCACCAGGGACAGAGCTGCTCGCACCATTACACTTTCACAGTCGCACATGGTGCAGCAGGTCCTTCAGCGGTTCGGGCTTCAGCACTCCACAGTACAGCGCACACCTCTTGCTGTTGACCACAGACTCACTGGACCCTTTCTTGACGAGCCGTTCGAGCCTAGTGGTCCCTACGCAGAGCTTGTGGGTTGCCTCATGTACCTGATGACTTGTACTCGCCCGGACCTCGCCTTCCCTCTCAGCGTTCTTGCGCGCTTTGTTGCGCCAGGGAGACACCGTCCTGTTCACTGGACAGCAGCTGTGAGGGTGGCGAAGTACCTAGCGACGACGTCAGGCGTGGGGCTAGTTCTTGGAGGGCAGCAGTCTGTCGTACTTACTGGTCACTGTGACTCCTCTTACGCTGACGACGCTGAGACTCACAGGTCTACTCAGGGGTACTGTTTCAGCCTGGGTTCTGGAGCTGTTTCCTGGCGGTCCACGCGCTCCTCTTCGGTCTCGACCTCTACAGCTGAGGCTGAGATCTACGCTGGTGCCATGGCGGCACAGGAGCTGCGTTGGTTGACCTTCTTGCTCACCGACCTTGGTGAGCGGCCGAGCTCTGCACCGACCTTGTTCACTGACAACAAGGCGTCTATTCTCCTTTGTCGAGAGCCACGACTGGAGAGCAGAGTGAAGCACATTCACGTCAGGTACTTTCTTCTGCGAGAGTTGCAGAGGCGTGGACAGGCTCGCTTTGAGTTTGTGGAGTCCGAGGCCAACACTGCAGACATCTTCACCAAGGCGCTTCCGCCTTGTGACCACCAGAGGTGCTGTGTGCAGTTAGGCCTTGTTGACACTGGTTCTCGTGTTGCTTAGACTTGAGTGTACTGTTTACTTTGCTTTCTATATATCTCTGTTACTTCTTGGACTGGCCTTGTGGCCACTGTTGTTTGTGCTCAGACTGTGTGGTGACGTTGTGATCCACCCTGAGCTTTGTTTCTTGGACTGGTCTTGTGACCGTACTCGTTTGGTTCTGCTAGACACCCCTCACTTAGGCTATGGGGGTGTGTCAAATGTTGTAGCCTATAGTGAGGTTTGTCTTAGGGGGTACAAAACTTAGGGTTAGCTATATGTACCCCAACCAACATCAATGCACCATCCATTCTTCATTCTGACACCCCCCCCCCCCCCCTTAAAGTGCCAAGGGCAGACACACCCCCGACGGCCAGAGGACTGGAAGGAGGAGCAGCCACAAGAGCGGTGGCGAAGTCAAGGCGGCGGGTAGAGGCAAACTCAGTGACTGCGGCAGTAAGAGCGGACACAGAGGACACAGAGGCACGAGGGTGGGTAACAAGAGAGGCGAGAACACGAGAGAGAACAGGACGGTACGTGCGGTAGTAGTCAGTGACAGGAGAAGGAAGCGACACAGTGAGGGCCGACTCAGGAGGAGACGGAAGCACAGACGGAGACGGACGAGGTGGACGAGAACAAAGGAAGGCTGTACGAAGGTCAGTGAAGGGAACAGGAGACGAGGGACGAGCACGAGGGGAGCGACGAGAGGCCCAAGTCTGAGAAGGAGGAGGAGACAACGAAGACTGAGGACGAGGGAAAACAGCGGGAGAGGGGTCAGGAGGAGGAAGCGGAGGACCAGAGACGGGAGGAGAGGGGGAGGAGGAAGGAGAGGGAGACGGGAGACCAAGGGTCCGAAGACCTGAGACAGGAGGAGGAGACGGCAGCAGCTGCTGCTGCTGCTGCTGCGGCTGCTGCGGCTGCTGCTGCTCCAGCGGCTGCTGCCTCTGCTGCTGCTCCTGCTGCTGCTCCTGCTGCTGTCGCTCCTGCTCCTCGAGCCGCTGCAACTCTCTCTCCTCTCTCTCCAACTCCAGCTGCTCCTCACGAGCACGGCGAACACGAGCCTGGAACCTGGTCGGGTAGGGGTGGGGGGAAGGAGTAGTGTCCGGGGCAGCCCCAGAGTCGACCTCCGAAGCACCAAGCACACCACCCCCAGAGGCAGCACCAACACCAGCTCCAGACCCAGGCTCTCCAGAAACCGAAGGGACACCCTCACCCCCAGACGCAGCACCCCCAGACTCCGCACCAGCACCCCCAGACTCCGCACGACCAGTACCAGCCCCCGGAAGACAAGAGTCCTCTGCAACCCGCGGCTCAGCTCCAACTCCAGCACCCCCAGAACCAGAGACCTGTACAGGGACAGTCGCAGGACCAACCTCTCGAGAGGGAGCACCTGCAGGAGGCGGCGAGGAAGACTGTGGGGAGGGAGGCTGTACAGGGGGGGCTACCGAAGGGGGAGGGCTAGCCTGAGACACACCAGACGGGGCTGGACCAGGGGGGGGAGGCTGTACCGGGGGAGCAGGCGGGGGAGCGGCGGTCAGGAAGAGAGGGGGGGGAGGGACCGGGAGACCTCGACTGGGGTACCTGACGTAGTAGGGGGTGGACTCCTCGAAACGGACGTCACGGGAGTCAAAGAACCGGTGAGAGGGAGGGTGGTAAAAGGTGAAGTCAGAGGAGTCCTCAGGGAAACCAAGGAAGACACAAGGAACGGCGCGAGGCGAGAGCTTGTCCGCGGAGGTGTCGCGGACAAGAGCCAAGCACCCCCAGACACGAAACCTCGACGCGACACCAGGGGACCCTGTCCAAAGACTGGTCGGTGAAGCCTCCGGCCGAGAGACGCGTGGCCAGAGGTTCAGCTGGTGCGCGGCGTACCTGACCGCGTATGGCCACAGGAAATGGGGGGCACGGGCGTGAGTCAAGGAGGTGCGGGCAATCTCCATGACCAGGCCTATGCGACGCTCAGCAACCCCATTCTGCTGTGGGGACTCCGGAAGCGTCCAGGACTGACGAATGCCCTGTTCGCGACAGAATCCAGCGAGAATGCCGGAGCGAAACTCGCCCCCGCGGTCGGAGTGGAGACAGCTGACACGACGACCACGAGTGTCCTGGGTGGTAAGCAACCACCTGATCAGCGTAGAAGTCACCTCAGACTTCCTCGCCAGGGGGAACACTGTGGTGTAGCGGGAGTAGTCGTCAACGACCACCAAAAAGAAACGCTCACGCTCAGGGCCAGGGCGAGGAGAGGGGCCCCAGACGTCCAAGTGCAGCGTCTCAAAAGGCTCGGTGGCCGGACGAAGGGAGGAGGAGTGAGGGGTGGCGCGCAGCCTACCCTCGACGCAAGGACCGCACGGTGGTGCAAGGGACGGCGGCAGCGACGGCAAGACACGCGGGAGACCTAAGACAAGACGCTGACGAGACATAGCGCGAAGACGAGGAGGAGAAGGGTGCCCCAGCCGGTGGTGCCACAAAACGGTGGGGTGGGCAAGCGACCGACAGGAGCACGACGCAGCGACCGGACTAGACGGAGGAACCTGACAAGACACAGCTACCTGGGGGGACGGAGCAACCTGGTGAGACGCGAGGACTCGAACGGGGGGCAAAACAGGGGCCGGGGGCAGGAGGGGCGGCTGTGGCTGCGGCTGCGGCTGCTGCTGCCTGCTGCTGCTGCTGCTGCTGCTGCTGCTGCTGCTGCTGCAGTCGCTGCTGAGGGCGCGGGCCAGTGTGAAGAGTGTAGAGACCGGAGCCCGGCTCAGCAGCAAAAGTGGCGAGGGGCTGGTAAGAGTCCCCGTCAACACACACCGCAGTCTCTCCAGAAGGCTCAGCCCACACACCCACGTGCTGACTCACGAGGGGTCGCACGCCCACCAAGTTCCGGGAGAACGAGGGGACGTGAAACCCAGTGAGAGACCCAGAAGGAGCAGCCGGACACGGCAAGGTGGTAGTGTGACGCGCGGTGACTGGTCCCGAAGTGGGATCAGCCAGCGCCACAGAAACAGGCGCAGGAAGAGGCGTAAGTGTCGTGCTGTCACGAAAGAAGCAGTGAGAGGCTCCAGAGTCCAGCGTGAACGACAGCGAACCGTCCTCCGCGCTCAATGCCGCGCCCAATGCCGCGCTCCGACACCCTCCGCTTCATGCTCGAAGCCAACACTGGTACAAAAGACGAGGAAGGTCGCCCACGCCCGTACACCCGCGAAGTCTACCGCCGCGAAATTGACCCGGCCTGGAAGGAACCTGACGAACCGGACGAGTTAAGCGTCAAGGAGGAACGAGACAAGGCTAGGGCAGAAAAGAAACAAAAGCTGTACAAAGAGCGCGTTGCGGCAGGCTGGAGCGAAGAGTCTGTACGACGAGGCGGATGGGGAGACGATGACTACGAGCCCGAGAGGCCGGCGCTACCTGGGGATCAAGCGGCAGCGGCACGGTTACCACTGGAGGATGGGGGACGGAAGAAACACCTGAGGCGGAGTTGACACAGGAAGAGTTGGAGGAAGCAGAACGAGAGATCCGAGCCGAACGCGGAGAGGAATCACCCCACGTCGCCATACCCCTCGGGAGACCGCCGCCCGCACGCTCACCTCCCCGCTCACCCTGGCGCTGGGAAAGTACCTGGACGGAGCTTGAGGAGGGGAACGTACCTCCAACACCAGTACGAGACTCTCTTGGTCCAATCTCCCGCCCAGATCCATTCGATCGCCTAATCGAAGGCACGACAACGCCGCTGACCATCATCCCCGACCGCGAATTTCTCGCCCTCTACCTCACGACCGCACCTGCAGAAGGGGAGTCAGCTGCAGCACCAGAAGCAGAAGAAGCAGAGGACAACGGAGAACCAGGAGAGGAGGAAGAACCACCGCTCCAAATTCCACAAGCAGCGGAGCATCGCACACGCTACATGCGCACCAGCGGCATTCGCGCAGAAGACGACCTCTGGCACCAGCGACTCGGACACCCCTCACGTCAGACCCTCGCCAACTGCCTCCGCGCCAAGGTCTTCCCCCCAGGAGCACTTCTGCGCCCCGACGGCACCGAACCTCATAACACCTCTCACCCACTCACCTGCACCGTTTGCCCCACTGCAGCCCTCACACACAACGCCTATCCCTCTCTGAAGCCGAGCACCAACCGCTACAAGAAGCTGCAGAAGGTGTACAGCGACTTCATTGTACTCACCTGCGACGGACTCAACGGCGAAAAATACACGCTGACCTTCATCGACGCCTACTCACGCCACGTCTGGATCGCCAACGTCGACGCACGGTCCAAGGCTCCAGAAGTCTTCCGCATCTGGCTCGCACATGTACAACGGCAGTCGGGGAGGAAGTTGAAAATCTGGCAGAGTGATGGCGCCAAGGAGTTCCGCAGCCACGAGCTGGAGAGTGTCCTCACCGATAAGGGAATTAAGCATGAGATCTCCCTCCCCTACGCTCATCAACAGCAAGGAGTCGCAGAAAGGGTCAACCGCACTCTCATGACGAAAGTGCGCGCCTTCATGAACCAGTCCGGCCTGCCCAAGAAATTTTGGCTCTACGCCATGAACCACGCGGTGCGCCTGCACAACCTCCTCTCCACCACGGCCAACAGGGATAACCTTTCTCCGCACATGAAATTGACCGGCTCAAGGGGAGACCCCTCCATGCTGAGGGTTTGGGGGTGCATGGTGCAGTACCGGCCAACTTCAGCAAACATCGGCAAGTTTGCTCAACGCGCACGCTGGGGGGTTCATCTGGGGCTCAGTAATGAGCACAAGGGCTGGCTTATCCTCGACATCGACAGCAAGGAGATCGTTCCCGCGCGTGATGTCCTGTTCTACAAGCGGCTCACCTTGCAGCAGTGGATTGAGGACGAAAGGCGCAACCAAGCTTGTGGCTATGTGAACAGCGGTCGCAGCTTTGCGTCTCCTGATGATGAAGCAGCAGCAGCAGCATTCGATCACGACGACACCGACGATCATCCCGGTGTCCCTCCTCGCCCCCGCACGGACGACGACGACGACGACGATAGCGACGACGCCCCTCCGCCCAGACCATCCCGCCGCCAAGACGCACCAAACACATCCTCACCTGGACACGAGGGCGACGATGACGACGTGGTAGAAGTTCCCATCACCGACACCACTAATACTACGAATGTGTCTGGCATGCAACTTCTCGGCCTCCACGCCGCCGTTTCTACCATGGCTCGCGCCATCGAGCCAAAGAACCCGCGCAAGGACTGTTAGAATCTAGGCAAGAATGAATGCATTGAATGGAACAGTTGGGTACAAGTAGCAAACCCTAGTTGGGGTTGTACCCCATATTGGCTACCCCACTACAGCCTACCAACATATAGCACATTACAATTTAACACACCCCCATAGGCAAAGTGGGGGAGAACAAAGGGTCACAAGACCAGTCCAGCAAAGCAATGCAAGCCCAGGGTGGATCACAACGTCACCACACTCCGAGCACAAGCAAAGGCCACAAGGCCAGTTCACATGCAGTGCTAGATATAGTACAAGACAAGTAACACAGTGATCAATACCTAGCAAGCAAGCAACAAGATATATATAAAGTACAGTACAAAGACTGTCAAGCAGTGAGCAAGTGAGGAAACGTGGGCACAAGACCTAAAGAAGTACAGTGTCGCTGATGATCACTAGGCGGGAGCGCCTTGGTGAAGATATCAGCAGTGTTGGCCTTCGAGTCCACGTACACAAGCCGAAGCTGACCGCGCTGCTGAAGCTCTCGAGCAAGAAAGTAGCGAAGAGCAATGTGCTTCGTCCTGTGCTCCAGTCTGTGCTCCTGACACAAGGCAAGAGCCGCCTTGTTGTCACCGTACAGAACTGGAGGAGAACTAGGCCGCTCTCCCAAGTCAGTCAGCAGGTAGGTGAGCCAGCGTAACTCCTGTGCAGCCATGGCCGTGGCGTAGATCTCAGCCTCACAACTAGAGCTGAGAACAGAGGAAGAGCGGGTGGACCGCCACGAGACAGAACCAGAGCCAAGGCTGAAGGTGTAACCCTGTGACGACCGCTGCGTAGCCAGGTCATCCACCCAAGAAGCGTCCGAGTGACCAGTGAGGGCAACTCTGTCGCGTCCTCCAAGCACCAGCCCCATGCCTGATGTACTGCACAAGTAACGCAGCACCCTCTTAGCAGCCTCCCAGTGCTCTCGCCTGTGTCTCCCAGGCGCAACGTAACGAGCAAGGATGCTAAGAGGGTACGCGAGGTCAGGTCGCGTGCAAGTCATCAGGTACATGAGGCAGCCTACAAGCTCTGGGTACGGGCCACTCGGCTCTACGGACTCGTCCGAAGGTGGAGCTGAGAGCGAGTGGCTGGTAGCCAGAGGTGTGGCCTGTGGTGAGGAGAACTGGAAGCCGAAGCGCTGAAGGACCTGCTGCACCATGTGTGACTGAGTCAGGGTGATGGTGCGGCGAGCTCTGTCCCGGGTGATCTGCAAGCCAAGGTAGCTACGCAGTTCACCCAGGTCAGTGCAGGTGTGTCTCTTCTGCAGCTCCGACTTCACACGAGCGAGTGCCTCAGTGTCAGCAGTAGCAAAGACCAAGTCGTCGACGTACACGAGAATGTAGAACGGCGGCAGCGACGTGTCTGTGCGCAGAAACAGCGACGGGTCAGCAGAAGACGGCGCGAACCCAAGAGCCGCAAGTGTAGTCCTCAGTGTGTCGTGCCACTCACGTGGCGCCTGGCGGAGACCGTAGACTGGCCGGCGGAGGCTCCACTGGGTACCAGGAGGAAACGACCCAGTAAAGCCAGGTGGGCGGCGCAGCCAGATCTCCTCGTGCAGGCTGCCCTGCAGGAACGCTGTGCTGAAGTCAAGAGAGTGAAGCTCGTAGTCACGCTGAGCAGCAACGTGCAGCAGAACCCGAAGAGTGGTCATCTTCGGGGTGGGGGAGAAGGTCTGGAAGAAGTCGACCCCCTGACGCTGACTGAAGCCTCTAGCAACGTAACGAGCCTTGAAGACAGGCGGAGAACCTGGTGGCCGCTTCACCCTGAAAATCCACATGCCATCGACGATGTTCGCCCCAGGAGGGGGAACCTCGTCGACGTAGGTGCCTGTGGACTTCCAGGATGCCATCTCTGCGTCCATGGCTGTCTGCCACTGAGAGGAGTAGGGACCCGAGATCGCCTCTGCGTAAGTGCGCGGAGTGGGGATGTCTAGTGCATCCGGGTCTCCCTCAGGGGCAAGCAACCAGGCCACGAGATGAGGTACAGCAGCCGCGAGAGAGTCAAAGTCCTCCTGCCTGTCCTCAAGGACGTCCGTGCCAAGAGCACACTCACCCCCGACGGACGGAGGACAGACTGACGCAGACTCAGACTCAGCAACAAGGCTAGCAGCGTAGTCTAGACGACAGGCAGCAGCAAAGTCAACCAACTCAGCGACCAGAGCAGACGCAGCCGAGGACTCAAAGGTAGGGTCAGTGACAACAGTAGCGAGGAGACGCGTGACAGTAGGGTGCTCAGCATGATACCGGTCAGACTCAGGGTCCGGAACGTCAGGCAAAGAGGACGCAGGAGGAGACGGTAGAGGGACACGCTGAGGAGCAGTGGAGGGACGCAGAGTCATGTAGTGAGTGCCTGGGACAGGAGGAGGACGCTCACGACGGACACGACGAGCAGTGCGAGCAGGACGAACAGGCGACGCAGGACGAGACTCAGGCTCACGACGCTCTGTAAGACCTCCTGTGGGACCAGTGTAAGGAGAGGGAGCAGGGAGAGGCGAGGCAGGCGGTAACTGTGACTGCGGCTGGACAGGCGGGGGACACTCTACGGAGGGAGGAGGACAAGGAGGAGGAGCCTGCCCAAGAACCTGCTGAAGGAGCGGTACGAAGTACGGTCGTGGCCGCGCAGCGTCTCCAGAAGCAGAAGAGACTCCAGCGGCCGGGTCCTCAGTACCAGCAGGAGCTCCAACGTCCGGGTCCTCAGCACCAGCAGCAGCGCCACCGCTCGGGTCCTCAGCTCCAGCAGCAGCTCCAACGTCCAAGTCCTCAGCACCAGCAGCAGCGCCACCGCTCGGGTCCTCAGCACCAGTAGCAGCTCCACCAGGTGGGTCCGCAGCACCAGCAGTAGCGCCACCCCCAGGGTCCGCAGCACCGCTAGGAAGAGCACCCCCAGAGTCGGCAGCTCCAACTCCGCTAGCACCGCCAGCTCCAGCCGAGCCACGAGGACGGCGAAAGCGCCGGACGTACCAGTCACGAAGCTGCTGCGGTGTGAGAGACTGCTCAGTACCCCGAACCGGAGCACCCCCAGACGCAGCAACCCGAGGCTCCGTAGGCTCAGTAGCAGCACCCCCAGGCTCAGTACCCGCAGGCGCAGCACCCCCAGACTCCGCACACGCAGGCTCAGCACTCCCAGTCGCAGCACCCCCAGGCACAGCACCCCCAGGCGCCGAACTCTCAGGCACAGTACCCTCAGCCCCAGCACCCGCAGTCCCAGCACTCCCAGGTAAAGCACCCGCAGGCTCAGCACCCCCAGACTCAGCACTCCCAGCAGCACCACCTGCAGCAGCACCTGAGTCACCTGTGACCTCGACAGGCTCAGCGAAAGAGGAGGGTCTACCTGAGAGACACCTGAAGGAGCAGGACCCTGAGGGGGAAGGGGGTCTACCGGAGGAGGACCAGGAGCAAGGAACAGCGGCGGGGGAGGGAGGGGGGCAGTGCGGTAGGGGAAGAGACGGTAAAAAGGGACCGACTCGTCAAAGGTGACGTCCTGAGAGGCGAAGACCCGGCGCGAGGTGGGGTGGTAAAACTGCCAGCCAGGCGCGTCAGGGACAAAGCCAAGGAAGACACAGGGAAGTGTGCGGGAGGAGAGCTTGTCCGCGGACGTATCGCGGACAAGGGCACGAGCACCCCACACCCGGAAACGCGACGCATCGCCAACCTCCCCCGTCCAACGCAGTGTGGGCGAGGTCTCCGGCAAGGAGACACGGGGCCAGAGGTTGAGCTGATGCGCGGCGTACCGGACAGCAAACGGCCACAGAAAATGGGGAGCCGCCGCGTGGACCAAGGAGGTACGAGCGACCTCCATGACCAGGCCAATGCGGCGCTCAGCAACCCCATTCTGCTGTGGGGAGTCCGGAAGCGTGAAGGTCTGCTCGATGCCCTCCGCCTGACAGAAGGTCCTCAAGAGATCGGAGGAAAACTCACCACCTCTGTCAGAGTGCAGACGCAGGACAGGAAGATCCGTCCGGAAACGGCGGCGGAGCTGGAGACGAACTGTGCGGATCCAAGGGATCAGAACAGCAGGGACCTCACCCTTGGTGCGCAAGGGGAAGACCGTGGTGTAACGCGAGTAGTCGTCGACAACCAGCAAAAAGTACCGCTCACCGCCCTGGCCACGAACGCGGGCTGGGCCCCACACGTCCAGGTGGAGGGTCTGCAGAGGAGCCTCTGTCGGGGGGAACGAGGAGGAGTGAGGAGCGGCGCGCTGCCGCCCCTCGACGCAAGGAAGGCAAGGCGGCGCAGGCGAGGCAGGGAGGGGAGGGAGGGACCTGGGAAGACCAGACACAAGGTGGCGACGGTGCATGCCACGGAGGCGTGGCAAGGAGGGGTGACCCAGGCGGTGGTGCCAGAGAAGAGTCTGGTGCGACAGGGAACGACACTCACAGGCGTGGGCCACCAGACCTGACGCGGACACCTGACCGACAGCAGCGACCTGAGGAGACGCAGTGGTCAGTGTGTAGAGACTCGACCCCGGCCGACGGGTAAACGTAGCCAGGTGACGGCCGGTCCTGGAGCACGTGCAGATCGCCACACGCTGTCCTCCAGGGGTAAAGGTGTCAACCCACTGATCCTGGATGACAGCGTTGCTCACCAGGTTCGTCGAGAACGAGGGGAGGTGGAAACCCGACAACGAGCCAGACGGAACCGCCGGACAAGGGAGCACAGTGGTGGACTGGGCAAGGACTGGGCCCCCAGAGGGGTCAGCCAAGGAGACTGGGACCGGTGCAGGAAGCGGTGTGAGCTCAGTACTGTCACGAAAGAAACAGCGGGAAGCACCTGAGTCAAGGGTGAAGGTGTGACAGGCCTCAGCCGGTGCGGTACCTGAGAGAGCAGTCTCTGTGGGTGCTGTACCTGAGAGAGCAGACTCACTAGTACCCAGGGCAGCGGGCTCTATACCTGGGTCAGGCGGGACACACAAGTAACAGTCTCCCTCGGCACTAACAGTCAATGCATACATGGCAGCAATAATAGCATCATAGTCAAGAGCAAAGATATCAACACCAGCCCTCATGAGCTCAGCCCAGCGGGGGCGCTCAACATCCTCGCCCATCTCCTCACGCCAAGCGTCGTCAAGGCGAGAGAAACAGCGGTACGGGGTGTGAAACCTCCCACACGTCTGTCCCTTGCGGTCACCTGTGCGAATGACATAGGAACAGCGGCCACTGCCCCCCGACGTCCCACGCTGAGCAAGCCACTCACGAAGCTGCTGGGTCGTCTGGGGACGCTGCTGCTGCTGGGAGCTCTGGCCCGAGCCAGTGCCTCCACTCCGACCTCCGCCGCCACCACTACCACCGCTCCGACCGCCACCGCCACCACCGCCACCACCGCCACCGCCGCCACCGCCGCCACCGCCACCGCCGCCACCGCCACTCCCACCAGCACTCCCGCCACCGCTCCCTCCAGCACCGCCTCCCCCCCCACCTCCCCCACCTCCTCCCCCCCCAGCGCCACCCCCGCCACCCTTGCCCCCCTTGCCCTTGCCGGTGCGGCGCCTCCCACCAGGAGCAGAAGCAGCGCCAGCAGACTCAGCACCAAGGAAGTCAACAGCAGCAGCAGTAGCGTAGGAGGGAGCGAGGGGAGAGGGAGAACACCCCTCAAAGATGGGGGTGCGAGGAGCGCCACGAGCAGCACCTACAGCTACAATGCTCTTCTCGGCTGCTAGCAGTTTCTCCTCTAGGAGGGGGACAGTGAGCTCAGTGGGACAGCGAGCAAGGAAATGGTCGCGCACTGAGCTAAGGGTGTCAGGGAGACGGGTGACTATAAAGTGGAGTGTCCAGTACAGGGGAGGGGGGTTCTTAGCGCAGAACTCGGTGGGAAGGGCGGCACGCAGGCGAGCATCACTAGTGCGAAGGTGGGTGATAAGATCTGCGACGGTAGCAAAGGTGGACAGCTCAGGGAACAGGTAAGGCAGCATAAGGCGGCTAAGCTCGGCTGTGGCAGGTGAGGAATAGCGGGCAACGACAGCGTCGTACAGGGCCTTAGCGGTTTTGCAGTCGCCAAAATGCTCGAGCTCAGCTAACGGCAGGTGACTGCGAATGGCTAGGCGAGCAGCTGCGTCACGAGTCTGCCAGTGGGAACGAACACTAAGCTCAGCTGTGGCAGGAGGGGCAGGTGCAGCACCAGACGCGTAATCATAGAGCGACACATGCTCCTTGCTATCGCTCAGGAGGAACAGCTGCAGGTCATCCAGCCAAGTGGCGAACTTCACAGGGCGGCCCTCAGCATCGAACGACAGCACGCGGATGGAAGCCATAGCGACAGCGCGACGGAGCTAAGGAAGCTGCCGCAGCACTGCAGGTAGGTAGCGCGGCGAGCGGCCAGTGCGGGGGACAGGCGGCGCAGTTGGCAGGAAGTGCGGCGGGCGGGCTGCGAAGCGGGCAGCGGGGCGGGCGGGCGACGCGGCGAGCGGGCAGCGCGGCGGGCGGGCTGCGAAGCGGGCAGCGGGCGGGCGGGCGACGCTGCGAGCGGGCAGCGCGGCGGGCACACTGCAAGCGGGCAGCCGGGCGGGCGGGCGACGCTGCGAGCAGGCAGCGCGGCGGGCGGGCTGCGAAGCGGGCAGCGGGCGGGCGGGCGACGCTGCAAGCGGGCAGCGAGGCGGGCGGGCGACGTCGCGAGCGGGCAGCGGGCGGGCGACGCTGCAAGCGGGCAGCGGGCGGGCGGGCGACGCTGCGAGCGGGCAGCGCGGCAGGTGGGCTGCGAAGCGGGCAACGGGCGGGCAGGCGACGCTGCAAGCGGGCAGCCGAGCGGGCGGGCGACGCTGCGAGCGGGCAGCGAGCGAGCGGGCGGACGACGCCGCGAGCGAGCAGCAGGTGGGCGAGCGACGCAGCAAGCGGGCAGCGGGCGGCGGGCGACGCGGCAAGCGGGCGGCTCGGCGGGCGGGCGACACTGCGAGGGGCGCGCGAGGGCGCTAACGAGGGGCGCACGAGGGCGCTAACAAGGGCGCGCGAGGGCGCTAGCGAGGGCGCGCGAGGGCGCTAACGAGGGGCGCACGAGGGCGCTAACGAGGGCGCACGAGGGCGCTAACGAGGGCGCACGAGGGCGCTACGAGGCTAGGGCACGGGGTAGCGTGGTAACCGCATGCGAGCGGTGGTGGGCCCTTAAAAAAAAAAACGGTCGGTAGGTCCTAGGGACCTCCTGCTCTGAATACCATGTTAGAATCACTAGGCAAGAATGAATGCATTGAATGGAACAGTTGGGTACAAGTAGCAAACCCTAGTTGGGGTTGTACCCCATATTGGCTACCCCACTACAGCCTACCAACATATAACACATTACAATTTAACAAGGACCTCACCGGCCCTCACGCCAAGGAGTGGCGTGCAGCTATGGACGCTGAAATACAGGCACTAGAGTCCCGCGACACATGGGTTCTCGTCGATCGTGCAGCAGTGAAGGGGAGGAGGGTGCTAAGCGGAAAATGGGTTTTTCGTCTCAAGACTAATGCGGACGGAACCATCGAACGCTTCAAGGCACGATGGGTCGTACGCGGATACGACCAGCGCCACGGCATCGACTTCGACCAAACCTTCGTTCCCGTTAGTCGTCACACCTCAGTCAGGATTCTACTCGCCATAGCGGCCGCTAAGCATCTGCCACTGCGACAGATCGACGTGAAGAACGCATTCTTATATGCGTTAGTGGACGCAACCATCTCCGTGGAGCAGCCATACACCTACGGAGAAGGAGACCCCAGGGTCTGCCAGCTGAAGAAATCCCTCTACAAGATCAAGCAAGCGCCTCGTCTCTGGCAGCAGCATCTGCACAACATTCTACTCGAAATTGGTTGCCCTGTCATCGGCCGAAGCTGAATACATCGCCGCGACAGCAGCAGTTCGCGAAGGCCTGTACCTGGAGGAACTGCTACAAGAGGCGAAAATTCCAACTTCGCCCACATTCGCCTACACTGCGACAACCAGCGCGCGATCAAGATCGCGAACAAGCCTGGGTTCGTGAACCGCACGAAGCACATCGCACTGCGGTACTTCTTCGTCAAGGACGAAATCGACCAGGGCAAAGTTGACCTCGCTTACTGCCCAACCACTGAGATGGCAGCCGACTTCCTCACCAAGCGCCTGCCACGTCAGCAGTTCAAGCACTGCTCCGACCTCACCGGAGTGGTCAAGCGAGTCAGCACCCTTCGCGTCCAGGAATGAAGGGGAGTGTTACGATATATGAGAAGGCATTCCTGTATGCTGCAGGAGCTGACTCTACCGAGTACGAAGTCGAGGAGTCAGAAGAGTCGAAGCGACACAGCAACCGTCTGATCAAGACCGATGCAGGCAGAAACATTTGAAGTGAAAAGAGCGGGAACAGGTTTGAAACTGGTTTCCGCACCGCACGGTTTGAATTTCGCTGCAATAAGGGAATGTACCCCTTAGAGTACATGGCTAGTCTAGGTCGTTTCGCATTCCTTTGTATTTCTATATAAACCCTATGTATGCATGCTATTATCATCTCAGTCATTTACATTCACTCTGACCTGAGTTCACTACTTCCGCTGCGACACTACCTGCGATCAACCCTGAACGATCCTTTCTTCGCTAAGTCACACTTCAGATTGTAACAGTTAGACACCGCCCCCAAACCCGCACAAAACAAAAGCGGTTAATGATTGCAACTCACATGCAGGGACCCGAATCTTCGAGATCGTCTTGCGCTTAAAAATCACCATGGCAGGGAGTTTGCGGCTGATGCCAAGCCTCTCCTCTCATACCCCACGAACCTGACGTGCACCGTCTTCTCCCCGCGGTGATGAAGGGTGCGCTCGTTTGGCATCTCCAGAAACACCGGCGTTTGGTCGGCGTTTATGATGTTCCACGCATCGATGCTGTGCTTGATGATGTTCTTGCGTGTGAACTCCCAAAATTCCAGGCACTTCGGCTTGCACTCTGCCACGAACGCACAAGATAATATTCATGTTGATGAGCCACGAGCTTGGGTATAACATCGCTGTAACATGCATAACGGCACAAAGAGCATGCACTAAGAGGTCGCGATACACACAAACGTCTTACCTCTTGCGAGACGCTGGCCAATCTTATTCTTCACGCGGATGGAGAGTCCCAGGCACGCGCGGAATCGGTACGTCCACCTGTTGGACGCCATCCACCTCACGTCTGGGTAGTTGGCCTTCATGTAGACCCTGCTCCAATGCTTGACGAGGCGGATCGGAACGGCAAAGCCACGGCCGCGGAAGTTAAGCATGCGCTTGTAGGGTACTTAGCCTTCGTCCCGCCACCGCTGAGGCGCCGCCTGGAGCGTTTTGCGTTTTTTATCCGATCCGCTGCACGAATCCACGAGTATACACTGACCGGTTGCACCCCCGCCAGACGTGCAGTGTGGCGGACGGAGAGTTTCTCCGCCTCCATACGCGCGAGCCAGTCTTGTTTCTCACCCATTGTATGGGCCTTGCGACTGTGTGTAGTGGTGCGCGCGCGGGAACTCGATGGCGCACCGTCGCATCTGGACCGTGGACCGTTCTCGTCGTGCATGAGGTTCTCCGAAAAGCGCGGGATCGGGAAATTGCCGACGTCATGGTTTTATTTCGTCGTCACCCGCATTGTCGTCATCCCAAGCGGCGGCGGGTTGGGAAAATCCCTGGTTCTCGAGAGGGTCCAACTGAGGGTTGTTGCGCCAGTCGACTGAGCCCGAGGGAAGCACAGGGGGCGCAGGAGGAGCCGGAGGGGCCGGGGGTGCGGGAGGTGTAGGAGGAGCTGGCCGGGCCGGGCTTGTGATGAGCACGATAGCAGGTTGGCAAGACAAACTGCCTAAGCTAGAACGGCGCGTACGCCATGGGCTTTCGTGAACAGACATTGAAAGAAGCTGCTAGTGTTCTACTGGCAACTGGTTGCTTGAGTGGCAGCTGCCATAGCGTGCTTTGTAGTAGGGTATGAAGCAAGAGTGGCAGAGTTGGATCTGAGACACGGAACTGGGAGAAATGAACCACCAGGGCTCCCGTGCTCGGCAGGCTGGAGACGTGAAACCCGAGTGCACCACGTCCCGTGCCTCTCCTACCTCTGAGACGAGATGGGCTGCTCGTAGGCCCCGTGACGTGGACATCTTGACGGTCGATCCCGTCAAGATGTTGTATGGTGCGTGTTTTGTGGCGTTCAATCCGCCCTCGTGCATTGTACCTTGTCGCGTGTTGTTGGCAACGTCACGCACCCCCTCCTCCGTCCCTCCTCCCTCTTCCCTCCTCTCTCTTGCCTCCTCCCTCCTCCCTCCTCCCTTCCCTGAATTCCCAACTCCCTCTACACCACACCTTGGTCATTCACAAACTGCAGCTTCCTTCCTAGCGCTCCGCAGTACCTCACATTTCCACTTTGTTCCAGGCCTTTCTTCTTTGGCTCTCCTTCCTCCCCAAGCTCTCCTCTCATCATCCGTGTCCGCCCCTCTCATCATCCGTGTCCGCCCCTCTCATCATCCGTGTCCGCCCCTCTCATCATCCGTGTCCGCTCCTCTCATCATCCGTGTCCGCCCCTCTCATCATCCGTGTCTGCTCCTCTCATCATCCGTGTCCGCTCCTCTCATCATCCGTGTCCGCCCCTCGCTCTCGACTCTTCCTTCACACCCCCATCCCTCGTCACCCCGTGGAGCAGAGTGCAGGGACGGCAGTGCTGCAGCAGCAGTGACAGTGGAGACCCGTGTCCATGACTACCTCTTTCCAGAGCCCACGACCTTAGAACTCCACTCCTACGAGGTATTCCCGTCCCTCCTTTTCAGGCTTACGGAACCACGTACCCACGTTATCATGCTTGGCACAAACACCATCGTAAGGTCAAATTCATGCTTCCTTCTCTCTGGTTTGCGCATTGCCACCGTCAGACACGCGCCTTCCTTCTTTGCTCTTCCACCCCTTCTCTTCCTCACTCTCCTCTCTCTCTCTCTCTCTCTCTCTCTCTCTCTCTCTCTCTCTCTCTCTCTCTCTCTCGAATGGTCCGTGCATTACATAAGGGGTGGTACAAAGGAAGTTGCAAACACGCATGCTAACAAACAAACACCCAAACCAGAGACCTAACCACCTCCAAACTCCTACCCACTCAGGCCCCTCCCTTGGCCCGACCCTACTGGTCGGACGGGGCCTCAATCAGCTGGTGAAGCTGCCCCTCGCTGAGGGGGACTATGGGGCCCCGGAAGCCAAGCTCGTCTGCAGCCAAGGCCTCGTTGGTCTTGGTGCGGAGCGCATTGGCCTGCGCCCGCTGGAGGCACACACTCCAGCGCTGGCGGTATTCTGTCAGCAGCTTCGCTGCTTCGTACGAGGTAGGAGCCGCGTTAAACCGCAGCTTCGCCGCCAGCTCTGCGCATTGCCGAAGGTAAGCCATCACCCCGGGCGAGGGGTAGCCGTACGTTTCCACCGCAAGCGCGTGGAACCCCACCCACGCATTCCTGCGGGCGTACTTCTCCTCCTTTGCTGCCGCCGCCCTAGCCGCCCATCCAGGAGCTCAGTTGCAGCTCTCGTCCTGGTAAGACACCGGGTCCGTTACGGTTACGTCGCACATCCAAACCTCTCCGGTCAGGGGATGACGGATCGTGACATCCGCCTTTAGATTTTCAACCTGAGAGTAGACGTACGTCTCCTTGTGTACCGTAAAGCCAGCCTCCGCCCCTATACATGCTATCTCATCCCGCAGGGCGTGATGGGTAGCGGTCCTCCCCTTCCCCTTCTCGCAGCGCATGAGGTGGTTGGGGAGACGATCGTCAAGGAAGGTGGTGCGGTAGCGACAATCACAACGTCTAGGCACGGGGAGGGGGAGGCCTAGGCGGAAGGCAGCTGCAGTTGAGAGCTGGGACGGGCCCATCCGAAGCGAGGGGATGAGGGGGATCGCCAGCAGCCAGTCCCCTGCGCCTGGGCCGAGCACCGATTGCATTCGTTGCGCGTGGCCCGAGAGGGGGTTGGGGCGCATCCGCCTCGCCTCGCGCATAACCCTCAGGAAGCGGCGGGAGTGAACCGCCAGTGCCAGGCTCTGCTGCAGCTTTAGTCCCTTCGGGTCCGCCTTCCCGGCCTGGAGTGCTTCGAGAGCTTCTGGGGGGAGGGCCGCCTCCGCTGCGGCGAGGCGTGCTGGCAGCGCGTGCTGGGAGCCGTGGGCCGGGTCCAGTAATGGGAGGAGCGCAGCTACTGCAGGGTGCAGAGAATCTTCCAGGGAGCGTAGGAGGTGCGCTACGCTGACCACCGAGGCGAGGTAGGCGTAGCTGCCTTCGACGGCGGGGTCAGTGATGCCGAGGCCCCCCAGCATCACCGGCAAGGCTGCCTGCCGCCATATCCGGCGTCTCTCCCTGGCGCTCCTCGGGGTCATGATGTGGGCCGACTCCAGGAAGGTGAGAAGCAGCTGCTCTCCCCACGCGGACCATTCCGCCTCGGGCAGCGCCTCCAGGGGGGTGGTTCTGGCCAGAAAGGAGGCGCGGCGGCTGACGCAGCGGGTGAGGAGGAGGAGGCTGAGCTGGGGGTCCATCTGGGTCAGCAGGGGGAGTGGAGCTGCGGCCGCCGCTAGCCGATCTCTCACCGCACCAGCGCAGCCCTGGGGGGTGCCGACAGGGCTGCCAAGTATCTGCAACCCCTCCACGGAAATCGTGATGCCGCGAGGAACGGATGAGGGGTCGATAGCTGCAGCGGACCACGCCGCGCACTTGGCCGGATTGTGTACCAGGCCGAGGGCGGCCAGAGCGCTTGTGAGGTGTTCAAATGCTGCTGTGCAGGCCGTGGCGTCACCGAGCAGCGTGATGTCATCGGCGTATGCCAGCAGCACCACTTGGGGATGTGCAGCCGCCGTGTCAACAAGGCACGGGTGGATACTTGCCGCGAAAAGGAGGGGACCGAGCGGATCCCCTTGGCGGACTCCTCTGCCGCTCTGCAGTGGGGCGGCTCCGAAGTCGTGGTCAAGGTATAGTGAGGAGGGAGCACCATAGGAGAGGCGGACGAGGGGGATCAGGGCCTCCAGAGCCTCGTTTTTAAGTCCCTCGAACACCGCTCTCCTTTCGACCGCGTTGAACGCGTTCGCGAGGTCAATCTGCAATGCTACTGCGTCAGGGTGGACTTCCAGGTATGTACGTGCCGTGTGGATGGCTGCTTCAATCCCCCCCGCTACTGCTACGCCGAATTGAAGGGGGGCGAAGTGAGAGCGGGCGGCCGGCGCGGTAAGGAACAGCGCTGCTTTGGCGATAATCCGGAGGAGGCACTCTCCTACCGCAATCGGCCGCGTTCCTCCCTGCGGCTTCGAAAAGGCTAGTAGGCGGGAGGCGGTTAGGAGTTCTCCCGCGACTGCTGGTAGTTTTCCTGCTAGAGCCGTGTTAGAGAGGGCGAGGAGGTGGGTGAATACCTCGGCGTTCCCTAGGGCTGCGTCGCGGATGTGTTCGAAGGTGGTTCCTGAAGGGCCAGCCCCTACTCCGTTGGGGAGCTTGGCGATAAGTCGCCTGAAGTCGCGGGCTTCGATAGCGGGTGAGTTCTCCGCCGTGGCAGCGTGGAGCCAATCTGGGAGCAGTTGGCAGGCAGGTGGGTGTCTCTCTCTCTCTCTCTCTCTCTCTCTCTCTCTCTCTCTCTCTCTCTCTCTCTCTCTCTCTCTCTCTCTCTCTCTCTCTCTCTCTCTCTCTCTCTCTCTCACTCTCTCTTGTTGGGGCCTCAGCTTGGTTACCTCACGTGTGCTTTCTCATCCCCTGCTTTTCACCAACATTCCTCTCCAATCCAACCCTCCACACCTTCTCTCGCGCCCGCTTCTCCCTCCTCCCTCCCTCTTCCCCTCCTCCGGCCTCGACCTTCCTTCTGCAGGTCACGCTGAGCAACAAGTGTCGCCAGCGTGCCATAGCTGCAATGAGCGTCAGCATGGAGGGCGTGCGCGTGCGCTCCTACATGCTCCTGACGCGCCTCCTGCCCATACAACGCGACTCTCTCCAACCCAGGACTATCTTCAAGGTCTACCCTCCCTCGCTCCTTCCCTTCCTCACTCACTCATTCTCATTATTACTGTAATTCTCTCCTGCTCCCCCTCAGTCCTCTGCTTTTTCACCCCTTACTTTGAGGGCTAGATTCATTTTTGGGATACCGTACTTACAGTGTGTTCCTCCCACTGCGTTGTTGTGACTGCTGCCATTCTTATTCTTAAAGCCCGAGTCTATAATGGCAAACGTTCAACTTCAAGATTCTTGAACTTGTTTTCGTCAAGAACAGGGTAACCAGGTTCAGAAAGCTGAGCTCTCGCTACCCACCGGGAAGGGAGTTGGTGGGCCAGAAGGTGATTGGCCAAATGCCCCACAGCAAAAACACGGACGAGCCTCGCCAGAAACAAACAAAGGCAAGTATCACTGTTCACACTTTCAGAACTTGAAACTCGACATTACCTTTCTAGACTCGTAGCATAGAAGGCTCCATAGCCCATATTCTCGTCAATAGTCAGCATAGTTGCGCCCATCTGCTTGCCGTATGCTAAGACTTTTGTAGCACATAAAGACGAAACTTCCCGGCGACTTTTTCGCGCATAACACATCCGATCTCGTACATTGCTTGGAAGGCATGACACTCAGATTGATCGCCACCGTGAGACTTACTCGTCGCCGCTGAAGGGTAACCTAGCCCGCACTCAATGCCGGTCCGCAATCACTCAAGGCCCGCCCTCACTCCCGTCGTCGTCACTCCCGTCGTTCTCTCTCTCCCGTCAAACTCTCTTTCCCGTCGCGCTCTCCCTCCCGTCGCGCTCTCACTCCCGTCACACTCTCACTCCCGTCGCTCTCTCACTCTCGTCGCGCTCTCACTCCCGTCGCTCTCTCTTTCCGGCGCGCCCTCACTCTCGTCGCTCTCTCGCTCCCGTCGCGCTCATTCTACCGTCGCTCTCTCACTTCTTTGCGCTCTCACTCCCGTCGCTCTCGCTCTCTCTCCCGCCGCCCTCTCACTCCCGTTGCTCTCTCTTTCCGGCGCGCTCTCACTCTCGTCGATCTCTCGCCCCCGTCGCGCTCATTCTACCCTCGCTCTCTCACTTCTTTGCGCTCTCACTCCCGTCGCTCTCTCACTCCCGCCGCCCTCTCATCTCCCGTCCCTCTCTCACTCCCGTCGCGCTCTCACTCCTGTCGCTCTCTTTCCGGCGCGCCCTCACTCTCGTCGCTCTCTCGCTCCCATCGCGCTCATTCTACCGTCGCTCTCTCACTTCTTTGCGCTTGCTCTCCCGTCGCTCTCTCTCTCTCCCGCCGCCCACTCACTCCCGTCGCTCTCACACTCCCGTCACTCTCTCACTCCCGTCGCTCTCTCACTCCCGTCGCTCTCTCACTCCCGTCGCTCTCTCACTCCCGTCGCTCTCTCACTCCCGTCGCTCTCTCACTCCCGTCGCTCTCTCACTCCCGTCGCTCTCTCACTCCCGTCGCTCTCTCACTCCCGTCGCTCTCTCACTCCCGTCGCTCTCTCACTCCCGTCGCTCTCTCACTCCCGTCGCTCTCTCACTCCCGTCGCTCTCTCACTCCCGTCGCTCTCTCACTCCCGTCGCTCTCTCACTCCCGTCGCTCTCTCACTCCCGTCGCTCTCTCACTCCCGTCGCTCTCTCACTCCCGTCGCTCTCTCACTCCCGTCGCTCTCTCACTCCCGTCGCTCTCTCACTCCCGTCGCTCTCTCACTCCCGTCGCTCTCTCACTCCCGTCGCTCTCTCACTCCCGTCGCTCTCTCACTCCCGTCGCTCTCTCACTCCCGTCGCTCTCTCACTCCCGTCGCTCTCTCACTCCCGTCGCTCTCTCACTCCCGTCGCTCTCTCACTCCCGTCGCTCTCTCACTCCCGTCGCTCTCTCACTCCCGTCGCTCTCTCACTCCCGTCGCTCTCTCACTCCCGTCGCTCTCTCACTCCCGTCGCTCTCTCACTCCCGTCGCTCTCTCACTCCCGTCGCTCTCTCACTCCCGTCGCTCTCTCACTCCCGTCGCTCTCTCACTTCCCTCGCTCACTCAGTGACTGTCGCTCTCTCACTCCCATCACCCACGCACGTCGCTCGCACATGTCGCTCACACGTGACTCACTAACACATGTCGCTCATATCTGCTCCTCTTACCCTCTTCCCCCTTTGCGCTCCCCCCGGTTCCTCCTCTGCCCATCTTCCCCGTCACTCACACACGACACACACGACATGCTCACACATGTTCCCATCTCCACTCTCATCCACAATCACTGAGGGGAGGTCGGCCTCCCCTCAGCCCCTTAGAGAATCCAGCCCAGTGGAGGGAGTTCAATCCCCCCAAACACTCACCTCATCCACAATCACTGAGGGGAGGTCGGCCTCCCCTCAGCCCCTTAGTTAATCCAGCCCAGTGGGGGGAGTTCAATCCCCCCACACACTCACCTCATCCACAATCACTGAGGGGAGGTCGGCCTCCCCTCAGCCCCTTAGAGAATCCAGCCCAGTGGGGGGAGTTCAACCCCCCCACACACTCACCTCATCCTCAATCACTGAGGGGAGGTCGGCCTCCCCTCAGCCCCTTAGAGAATCCAGCCCAGTGGGGGGAGTTCAACCCCCCCACACACTCACCTCATCCTCAATCACTGAGGGGAGGTCGGCCTCCCCTCGGCCCCTTAGAGAATCCAGCCCAGTGGGGGGAGTTCAACCCCCCCAAACACTCACCTCATCCACAATCACTGAGGGGAGGTCGGCCTCCCCTCAGCCCCTTAGAGAATCCAGCCCAGTGGGGGGAGTTCAATCCCCCCAAACACTCACCTCATCCACAATCACTGAGGGGAGGTCGGCCTCCCCTCAGCCCCTTAGAGAATCCAGCCCAGTGGGGGGAGTTCAACCCCCCACACACTCACCTTGGAAACAATCACTGAGGGGAGGTCGGCCTCCCCTCAGCCCCTTAGAGAATCCAGCCCAGTGGGGGGAGTTCAACCCCCCCACACACTCACCTCATCCACAATCACTGAGGGGAGGTCGGCCTCCCCTCAGCCCCTTAGAGAATCCAGCCCAGTGGGGGGAGTTCAATCCCCCCACACACTCACCTTGGAAACAATCACTGAGGGGAGGTCGGCCTCCCCTCAGCCCCTAAGAGAATCCAGCCCAGTGGGGGGAGTTCAACCCCCCCACACACTCACCTCATCCTCAATCACTGAGGGGAGGTCGGCCTCCCCTCAGCCCCTTAGAGAATCCAGCCCAGTGGGGGGAGTTCAACCCCCCCAAACACTCACCTCATCCACAATCACTGAGGGGAGGTCGGCCTCCCCTCAGCCCCTTAGAGAATCCAGCCCAGTGGGGGGAGTTCAACCCCTCCAAACACTCACCTCATCCACAATCACTGAGGGGAGGTCGGCCTCCCCTCAGCCCCTTAGAGAATCCAGCCCAGTGGGGGGAGTTCAACCCCTCCAAACACTCACCTCATCCACAATCACTGAGGGGAGGTCGGCCTCCCCTCAGCCCCTTAGAGAATCCAGCCCAGTGGGGGGAGTTCAACCCCCCCACACACTCACCTCATCCACAATCACTGAGGGGAGGTCGGCCTCCCCTCAGCCCCTTAGAGAATCCCGCCCAGTGGGGGGAGTTCAACCCCCCCACACACTCACCTTGGAAACAATCGCTGAGGGGAGGTCGGCCCTCCCTCAGCCCCTTAGAGAATCCCGCCCAGTGGGGGGAGTTCAACCCCCCCACACACTCACCTCATCCACAATCACTGAGGGGAGGTCGGCCTCCCCTCAGCCCCTAAGAGAATCCCGCCCAGTGGGGGGAGTTCAACCCCCCCACACACTCACCTCATACACAATCACAGAGAGGGGGTAGCCTCACCCAAGCCTCTTATCCCATCCAGCCTAGTGGGGGACCCCCCCACACACTCACCTTGGAAACAATCACTGAGGGGAGGTCGGCCTCCCCTTAGCCTCCTCTCAAGTCCAGCCCAGTGGGGGAAGTTCAAACCCCCCACACACTCACCTCATACACAATCACTGAGGGGAGGTCGGCCTCCCCTCAGTCTAATACCCCCTAACTTATCGTTGCTCGGCTCCTCTCTGCTCATTCCCCGTCCCGTACATTGCTTCTCACCGGGTGGTTTAGAGTACGGGCGGCACTGAGCAGATTGTCGTTCCCGTCTAGTTAGAAGACGCGCCTTGCTGTCCGCGCCTTGTTTTTCGCCGCCTTGCTGTCCGCGCCTTGCTGTCCGCGCCTTGCTGATGGCGCCTGCCCGTCAACGCCTTCCCGTCCGCGTCTTCCCTGTGCGCGCCTTCCGTCCGCGCCGTTGTGGCTCTCGCCTTCCGCCCTATCCCTATGTAGTTGCGCCTTCTATGGGCCATCTCACACAGGCCGCGTATTCCTGTCCGAGTCTCTCCCTTCCGCAACTTTCGAGTGTGTTCGCTTTTTCTCGTGCAACGGTGTCCCGACCAGCGCAATCGTCACCGTGGTCGAGCTGCAGTTGCTAACGGGCAGGCTTTCCTTCTGACGTTCGGGGCCACATATCCATTCGCCACTCAAATGGTGTGGTTTCTACAGATAATTACGTGCAGTGTCGATTCTCTTCGGAGAACAAGGACGCGACGTGACTGTTTTGTGACCACAACAACCGTTGAGTGTCGCCGCTATTCCCGTGTTGGTGGCCTGAAACGTTCTGTGCTGGAATGGACGTTCGCCACCTGAAACGTGGGCAAACGTGGGCAATAGCGTTACCCCGCTTATGTTGCCTAAACCTGATGACGGACGTGACGTTACGTGATCGTCCTTAGAATTCGTCTAGTAGGTACAAACCGAATGCATGTGGTAGGTCATGCACGTCGAGTGCATTGCTGGTTGTTGAGCTGCGTATCAGTAGGCTCCTGCCATGTCCGCGATCATAGAAAGCTGGTGGTGTGACTTGCGTGGATGGTGGTTTGGTTTTGTTTGTCGCTTGTGTTTGTTCAAGTTTCCTGAACTAGGAACCCGTACAATGCGAAAAACTTCGAAGCACCCCACCTTCGCCACCTCTTTCCGGCGAATTGCGCTCTCGTCATCCTTCGCCCAACCCCCTTTCAAGTTCAGTAATCCTGAACCCTTGCCATTCTAGGCGTGGGCTTTAACTAATTGCTCTACTTGCCAATCGCAGGTACTCCCTCCCCTGGGTGCGCCTGATGGTGCTATCATCATCCCACCTGGGGGTTCCTTCAAGTTCAATTGCACGGCTGAGCGTAACGTCGGCTTCCCAGTCTCTGTTTACAATGCCACATTTTCCCCCTTGCAATCTTAGTTATTGCTGGTATAGGGTAATTGTATTGTTGCTCGACGAATCAATTTTCATGGTGTCGCATTGCATGCATTCGCATGCAGAGAGCGCAAAGCTTAATAACGTACTCATGTTTGATTCCACTTCTGTTCCCTCGGCTCGGCATGTACCGTCAAACTACTGGTATATTCGTTTAGTAAGACTCATAAAATCAGGCAAAAAAATGGGCCCTGCCCTCCACCCTCTTCCTGAGCCTCTTCCCCAAACCTCTGTCTTCAACCCCCTCCTCGTCTCCCCTCCATGTGCCCCTCCCACATGCACTCTACGAATGTACAGCGCACATGCAGGCAGGCAGGCACACACATTCTAGAGGCAGCTTACCGTAGAATCTCTCCTCCAGTAAACAGGCAGGATTCTAGGATGCGCATACCCATCCTAGATTCGACCCTGTCAGGAATCAGGAGCGAACGAACTACCAGTGTGCCGGAAGGCGCAGAATCGCAGATGCAACGGCTGCTGCAGGTGCAAGGATTTAAGCCCGTAGTGTGCCGGCTGCCGGATCCTATAGGCCACGACTCAGTCAGAATCAGGCTACAAGTGCACAGGTGGGCGTACATGCACCGGCTGCTGCAGGTGCGAGGCATTGAGCCCGTAGTGTGCTAGCTGCCGCAGCAGCAGGCGCAGGCGCTGGCGCCGGTTGCGCTGCGCGCCTGCACTCCCCGTGCTGCCGCGCATGCGCCTTGACACTGCTCTCCATACTGTGTCCTCCGCTCCCCCCGGCTCTGGGGGTGACGAGAACTCAAAGTGCTTGCGCAGCTGGGATGAGGGGGGAAACGGGGGTGGGGAGAGGAAGAGAGGAGAGGAGGAAGAAATGGGAAGAGGAGTTGGACGAATTTGGAGGCGCCTTAAGGTGAAGCGAACTTAAAGTGCTTGCATAGTTGAAATGACGGGAGCAGGAGGGGAGTGGGGGGAGGTTTGGAGGGGGGTTGAGGAGGGAAACATGGACCGGGTTTGGGGAGGGTGGGGGGCAGAGGGGGACAGAAGAGAGGATAAAGGATAGCAGAGGAGTGAACGGATGACAAGTAGGGATGAGGAAGTGAGGAGGAAATGAGTGGAGAGGAAGAGTAGGTTACGCAGAGATCACAAGTTGCCCTGGCTTACCCTTCCTTTTCGTCCCTCGCCCACAATCACATTCCTCCTACACCAATATTCCACTCCCAAAATTGCAACAGGCCCATGCCTAATCCGCATCCTCACAAAACCCCGCCCCTCATAACCCCACCGAACTCCACTCCACCGCACCCGACCCAAACCCACCACACCGTCTTGTTCTCCCACCCAGTCTCACCCGGCGCATGTTGGCCCATCTGCACTGCCACTGCTCGCGGCTCTGCCCTTGCAGCAGCTCCAGCACAACCCAACCCCTCCGTACCCCGCTCCACTCCACAGCCCCACCCGACCTCAATGCACACCACACCCCACCACACCCCATCGCACCCCACACGTTATCCTCCCACTCCTTCTCACCCGGCGCATGTTGGTCCATCTGCGGTGCCACTGCGTGCGGCTCTGCCCTTGCAGCAGCTCCAGCAGGTGGCCGGGGCGGAGAGCAAGCGCGGTGGGGACGAAGAGGGCGAAGGAGGAGTAGTCGATGACGTCCTCAAAGGACAGCTCTATGCTGTCTGATACCACCACTGGCACGCACCCCGATAGGATGCTGTCAAACAGCCGACAGCTCGACGACGTGTCACCTGGGGGGGAGAGGGGGGGGAGGGTAGTTGAGGGAAAGGGAGGGAGGACTTTTGAGACATCTCAAAAGCTGTCTGATACCACCACTGGGTTGCTCCCTGATAAGATGCTGTCAAACAGCCGGCAGTTGGACGAGGTGTCACCTGGGGACGGGGGGTTGGGGGAAGGGAAGGAGGGATTGGGGACGGGGAGGGGGGAGAGGCAGAGTGGTGGGTTTGAATGGTTTGAGGTTTGAGCGGCAAACATCTTGCACGTCTTGAAAAGGCACTCCGTCGCTCCCCCCCCGACACCCTCACCTTCAGGCGAGAGGCAGAACTTGGCGCGCCTGAGGCCCCCCGCAGCGCCCATGATGTTGCCCTCGTCGCTCGCCAGAGCTGTCTCAAACACCACGCCGCTCTGCCCCGCCAGCACCTCTGCTAGCGCCCTCCGCACTGCCTGGCCCTGCTGGGGTGAGGGAGAGCACCGGAGAGGGGATGAGGATGAGAAGGGATGGGGATGAGAGGGGATGGGGATGAGAGGGGATGGGGATGAGAGGGAGAGTCATCCCCATGCAAGTGCTGCCTGGAACACCACACCCCTCTGCCCCACCAGCACCTCTGCCAGCGCCCTCCGCACTGCCTGGCCCTGCAGGGGCAAGGAAGGGAGGTGGGGGATGGAAGGGTGAGAAGAGTAGAGAGAGGACGAAACAGAGAGTGTTGGGAGGAGGCCACATGAGGCCGAGGTAGACATGAGCCGAGGTAGACATGAGCCGAGGTAGAAATGAGCCGAGGTAGAAATGAGCCGAGGTAGAAATGAGCCGAGGTAGAAATGAGCCGAGGTAGACATGAGCCGAGGTAGAAATGAGCCGAGGTAGAAATGAGCCGAGGTAGACATGAGCCGAGGTAGAAATGAGCCGAGGTAGAAATGAGCCGAGGTAGAAATGAGCCGAGGTAGAAATGAGCCGAGGTAGAAATGAGCCGAGGTAGAAATGAGCCGAGGTAGAAATGAGCCGAGGTAGAAATGAGCCGAGGTAGAAATGAGCCGAGGTAGAAATGAGCCGACGTAGACATGAACCACCATGTGCGTGATTACTCAAGTCCACTTCCTCCCTCCCCTCCTCCTCCTCCTACCTCCCTCCCGCCGTCCCCCTCTCCTTCCCTCCCTCACTCCCTCCCTCCCCCCACCCCCCACCTCAGTCTGCCCAGCGCGCCACTTGTTGCCGCGGAAGTAGAGCAGCGTGGGGCGCTGCTGCCACGACCCCGGGTCGTCAGAGTAAGCAGGCACCAGAGCAGCGTACGGCACCACCACATCGATTAGCGGATCCGCGTCCTGGGGTGGTGGGGTGGAGGAGGGATGGGAAAAAGAGGAGAGTGGGGAACAGGCGGACAGGGAAACGCTGCTGCCATGCAACTGGGTCATCAGAGTAAGCGGGCACCGGGGCAGCGTACGGCACCACCGCGTCAATCAGTGGATCCGCGTCCTGGGGTCGTGAGGGAGGGGGAGGGGAGGACGAGGGGAGGGGGGGGGGAACGGGGGAAGAAGAGGATGAGGAGATGAGGGGATGCGGGGGGGTTGTGGGAAAAGGGGCATGGCGTTTGAGGGGCCAGCATCACCTCGTCAACCAGTGGGTTCCTCGGGTCTTCTGGTGTGAGGGGTGGGCAAGAGAGGGGGACGAGGAGAGGAGATGGGGATGGTATTCGGGTGAATTCAGAGTCATGTCGTGACGCGTGCTTTTGACAGGGATGGTTTTCGGAGAAAGCTTTCAAACCAAGCCCCACATTCACCTGCCACCGGGGTTTAAGGTTCAGGGTTTCGGGGTTCAGAGTGTAGGGTCAGGGTTATGGCAAAGGAAATTCGGGTTCAGGGTTCGAAGCTGTTGCTGGTCAGGAGCTGTTGCTGGATGCACAGCACAGGGCTGGCTCTAAGGTTTATACGGTGCACAGGCTTGCAAGCGCGCACACACGCGCGTGCACGCAACCACACACCTCCCATCCCTCCCCTCCCCCTCCTCCCCCATCTCCCACGGCCCCCACCACCACCCCACACACACACACGCGCGCACACACACACACACACACACACACACACACACGCGCGCGCACACACACACACACACACACACACGCACGCACGCACGCACACACACACACACACACACATACACACACACACACACACACACACACACACATGCGCGCGCACACACACACACGTGCGCGCACACACACACGCGCGCGCACACACACACGCGCGCGCGTGCACACACACACACACACGCGCGCGCGCGCGCGCACACACACACACACACACACACACACACACACACACACACACACACCCCATAGGTGGGTAGGTCTCACGGTTGACAGCCAGGGCTTTAAGTAACCTGAGGCATTGGCGTGGGGTTTCAGCAAAGGGATTTGGGTACAGGGCTCAAAGAGGTTCAGAGCCGTGGTCAAGGGGCTGTGCAGCCTGGAGGTGTATCTTGAGGGGGTGCCTCAAAATACACCTTGCCCCTCTCCCCCTCCACACACCATGGGTGGGTACATGTCGAGGTCGACAGCCATCTTGCGGACGGGCTGCAGCAGGTCCCGCGAGGCATTGGGATTGCAATCCGAGTCGATTCACAACACAAACACCCCCTCCCCCCCCCCCCCCCTCCTCCTCCTTTCACCCTCTCCCCCCCCCACACACACACACACGCACCATGGGCGGGTACATGTCAAAGTCCACAGCCATCTTGCGGACGGGCTGCAGCAGGTCCCGCGAGGCATTGGCGAAGGTGACGGGGTACACGGCGGGCATGAGCAGCGGATGCGTGGCCAAGCGCGGTAGCAGGGGGAGCAGCTGCGCGTTGAGGCGCTCACTGCAAGGGGAGAACGGGGGAGACAGGAGGGGGGGAGAGGGGGGAGGGTGGGAGAGGGAGGACAAGGGTGGGGAAGGAGGAGAATCGGGGAGAGTGGGTGAGAGAGGGTGGGGGAACTGGGGGGATGAGGAAGAGAGGAGGGAGGGGTGGGGTGGAGAGGGGAGGACTCAGGTGGATCGAAGAGGAAAAGGGCTGAACAGGGCGTAGGAGTTAGGTGCAGTCGAGTGCAGGGGAGGAGAGGAGGGATGGGGAGCGGAACCATAAACTAGAAAAAGATGGTGACGATGCATTGTGAGTCGAATCAAAGCACAGTAAAGGGAATGGGAGAGGACAGTGCGCCTGCGGAGCGTCTCTCATCCCTCCCTCCCTTGCAATGCACTGCTGCTTCCTGGCCTGTAAACCCACGCGTCTCTCAAGTGCCAACCGCACCACACCCTGCTGTTCCATGCTTCTGAAATCCTCAATTCTCCCCTCTCTCCCTCCCTCCCCTCCTTCCCTCCCCTCTCTCCCTGCCTGCCGCCTTCCCCTGCGCCCAGGCCTTGATGCAAAAGGCAAGTGTGGAGAAGTAGGGCATATTTTTTAGCCAACTCAGAAGTGGGCCGTAATTTTTTTAGTAGACTCAAAAAGAGGCGAGCACCTGGCCTTGAGGCGGAAGGCGAGCGTGGAGAAGTAGGGCAGGAACACCACGTCTGCGTGCGATGGCTCCTCCACCCTCACCACCGCCTCCGACCCTGCGGTGAGGCGCGCACACCACGCATGGGGGGGAGGGGAGTGGGGCGAGGGGTACGGGCGATGGGGGGATTGGGGATGGGGGATGCGAAGGGAGGGGGAAGAGGGGAATGGGGGATGGACGTGGCACGGCATTGCGGTGCGTCATGGGTAAGGCAACAACCATTAAGAGAAACATGTCGTTGTGTTCTCACTGGCTTGTAGGCGACAAGCGTGCTTGTTCCTGCATGCTTATTAACCCCATATCCCGCTCGCTACTTCTGCCTCCCACCCAGCCATCCACCATGCCACCCAGCCATCCACCATGCCACCATGTCACCATGCCCACCCACCCAACCACCCACCCACCCACCCACCCACGCGTGCACGCACCGAAGAGCAGGGAGAGGGTCATGTAGTACTCGACGCTGTGCTGCCAGTAGTAGGGGAAGTTGTGGTAGCACGGCACCTGCACCGCCACTGCCTCCTCTGACCACCCCGCCAGCCTCGCCATTTCGTCCGTCTGCTCTAGCAGCGGCAGATGCACGCCCTTCATGGCGTTGATACTCCCGTCCTCCCCCGCCGCTTCTCTTTCCCCGCCTGCTGCTGCCGCTTCTGCTGCGTCTTGTGCGCTGCTGGTGGCGGCTGCTGCTGCGGCTTGGTCTAGCGAGTTGTCGCCGTCCCCGTCAGCGTCGTCGTCTGCTGACGTGGCGAGCGACGAGGAAGTGGCGGACGAGGAGGAGGAAGAGGAAGAGTTGAAGTTCCAAGAGGGAGGCACGCCGTGGCGTGCGAGGATGTCGAGACGACACCCCACGTTCCACTGGGCCTGAAGGGAAGGGGAATGTGAGATTGGGCGAAAGGGGTTGATTGTGACGGGTACATGAAGCAAATGCTATGCTATCAAGAGCGTGTGTAGAGAAGGCATGTGATCAAGGGTTGGCAACAGAAAACCGTGAGGGGAGCCCGGGAGGACTGTGAAGAATTGAGGGACATGAGCCCGCCTGCAGGGTGATAAGAGTTGGGTTTTGAGATGTCCCAAAGCCCAACTTGTATCACGTGAAGTGAGGGACATAAGCCGGAAGGGCGAGTGGGTTGGCCAGGAGCGGCGGCTCACAAGGCGGGAGGGACGGGAGAGGCGGGGGATGTGAGGATATGCGGGGAAGCGGGACATGGGGGCAACCTGGGGATGTCAGGGAATGCGGGGGAGTGCGGAGTGCGGGGAATGCGGGGAATGCGAGGAATGCTAGGAATGCGCGGAATGCGGGGAATACGAGGAAAGCGCGGAATGCGAGGAATGCGAGGAACGCGGGGAATGCTTGGCAGTGCGGAAGGTATGCGTGGGATGCGGGGGGCTTGCCTGGAGGAGTCCGAAATTAAAGGCGGCGGGCAGCGGATACAGGTACACACGGAGCGGCAATTCCAAGGGAGGTTCGTCGTCGTCACCACTCCCGCCTTCTGCTCTCCGTTCCCCTAGACCCCTGCCGCCTTCCAATCTTCCGTGCTCTCCTGTCTCGTCGTCTCCCCTTCCGCGATCCTCCTCCGCAATCGCCGCCGCCGCAGCCGCTGATTCGGCTTCCGCGTACGCGATAGAAGCTGGCGTGGCATAGGTTACGCCGAACATGTGAGAAAGGATGTGGTGCGGCGCTGTCCATGCAAGTAATATCCATAATAGGAGAACTAAAGGCAGCCACTTTAATACCCAAGTGATTAAAGAAGAACCTTTCCCGTGTGCTGCGGATCTGGAGGAGTATCCGTGCCGTGACAAGCCTAAGGCCATCGATGGCAACGAAATGGAGCAGGAAACTTGTACAGCTAACGGAAATGAATCTAAACCGTCACATCCATGTGGGATTCACACGACGAAGAGCTGTTTTAGCTTAGCAAGAAACAGAAAGGAACACCAATCGAAAACAATGTACGAGGGGGCCTGGCTGGTTCACTAGACATCCAAAAAAAACCATTGCAGGGGCAGGAAGGTGTTGCGCGAAACGGTTACTGCCTCAAAATGTTCGCACGCTTGGTTCGTAAGAGCTAGCAAGCCTCGCGAGCTTTCGCAGCTGCTGAAACACCCTGGTGCTGTCGTGCCATGCCACCCACCAGGACGAGGTGCGCCTCGGGAAGACGACGCGGGACGAGAATGAAAGCTGGCACCACAGGGCCGACAAGTTTTGAAACACTGTACTACAGTACCGTGGAGTGAGGCGTAAGTCAGTGCAGGTGGGGGGTTCGAGGCGAAAGTCTCCCCCCATTTTAGGGTGGAGGACCCCGATATAGGACCTCCCTTTTCCACAGGGCTATTATAAGTGCAAGGAAAAAAACCTTTTCCTTTTTCTGGGGTTTACTCAACCCCGTACAACCCCACCTTTCGAAAGTGCATATTCGGCCGGTGTGCTTGCTGCCGAAGCAACCTCGCGTCGCCTTCGGCTTTCCTTTGCCCAACCTGCACCCAACCTCGTGTTCCCGAGGTTCCCGCCTGTCAAACATTGTATGTTTATATTGTGTAGGCTATAGTGGGTTTAGCCTTAGAGGGTACACAAACTTAGGGTTTCATACTTGTACCCACCTTCCTGCTAGTTCATCCATTCTCGTTCTATTCTAGATTCTGACATGGTATCAGAGCCTAGGTTGCTACCTAGGACCGCTTTCTACAATGGGCCCACTATTCCGCTAGACGCGCCCTCGTGCGCCCTACCTTACGTGCGCCCTCGTGCGCCCTACCTTACGTGCGCCCTCGTGCGCTCTACCTTACGTGCGCCCTCGTGCGCCCTCGTGCGCCTTTCTCTGCTAGTGCGCCTTCGTGCGCCCTCGTGCGCCCTCGTGCGCCCTCGTGCGCCCTCGTACGCCCTCGTGCGCCCTCGTGCGCTCTCGAGCCGCCCCTGCAGGTCCGTCAGGCCCCCGAGCCGCCGCTGCAGGCCCGTCAGGCCCGAGAGCCGCCCCTGCACACCCGTCAGGCCCGCGCGCAGCCTCTGCACGACCGCGCGCCGCCCCTGCAGGCTCTCGCCGCCCGCCGCGTCGCCCTGCCCGTGGCGTCGCCGCCTCCCCGCGGCGTCGTCGCCTGCCCGCGACGTAGCCCCTGTCCGCGGCGTCGTCGCCTGCCCGCGGCGTCGTCGCCTGCCCGCGGCGTCGTCGCCTACCCGCGGCGTCGTCGCCTGCTCGCGGCGTCGTCGCCTGCCCGCGGCGTCGTCGCCTACCCGCGGCGTCGCCACCTGCTAGCGGCGTCGCCCTACTCGCGGCGTCGCCACCTGCCCGCCGCGTCGCCCTGCCCGCGGCGTCGCCACCTGCCCGCCGCGTCGCCCTGCCCGCGGCGTCGCCACCTGCCCGCCGCGTCGCCCTTCTCGCCGCGTCGCCCTGACCTAATCCGCCTCTCGCCCCTGGAGCAGCCGCCACTGCAGCAGCAGCCCCTGGAGCAGCCGCCACTGCAGCAGCAGCCCCTGGAGCCGCCCGCCACTGCAGCAGCAGCCCCTGGAGCCGCTCGCCACTGCAGCAGCCGCCCCTGGAGCCGCCCGCCACTGCAGCAGCCCCCTCTGGAGCAGCACGCACCTGCAGCAGCCGCCCCTGGAGCAGCCCGCACCTGCAGCAGCCGCCCCTGGAGCAGCCCGCACCTGCAGCAGCCGCCCCTGGCCCCTGGAGCAACCACCGCTGCAGCAGCCGCCCCTGGCCCCTGGAGCAGCTGCCACTGCAGCAGCCGCCCCTGGCACCTGGAGCAGCTGCCGTCGCGGCCCGGCCTCGCCCTGCAGCAGCTGCCGCGGAGCTCCCTGCTGCGACCCGGCCCAGCCCTGCGGTTGTAGCGGCCCCACTGTCGCCACCGTCTTGCGCCTGCCGCGCCGACCACTGGTGAGCATTGCCCAGCACTGCTACCGCTGCTACTGCCCTTTCTACTCCCACTGCCACTGCTCCTGCTGTTACTGCTGTTACTGCCGCTACTGCTACTACTGCTGCTACTGCTACTACTGCTGCTCCTGGCGTGGCCAGATGCAGCTCCAGGGCCGTGCGCGTGAGTCCCTCACGCCCCAGCAGCTTCGTGCGCGTGAGTGGTACGCTAGTTGGGGCTGTCGGGGTGACCGTAGTGGTAGTCGCTCTGGAGTGGGTCGGTCGGGAGCTTCTGGTAGTGGACAGGTGCAGCTGCCGTGTCCTCCTTCGCCCCAGCAGCTTCGTGCGCGTGAGTGGTACGCTAGTTTGGGCTGTCGGGGTGGCCGTAGTGGTAGTCGCTCTGGAGTGCATCGGTCGGGAGCTTCTGGTAGTGGACAGGTGCAGCTGCCGTGTCCTCCTTCGCCCCAGCTGCTTCGTGCGCGTGAGTGGTACGCTAGTTTGGGCTGTCGGGGTGGCCGTAGTGGTAGTCGCTCTGGAGTGCATCGGTCGGGAGCTTCTGGTAGTGGACAGGTGCAGCTGCCGTGTCCTCTTTCGCCCCAGCAGCTTCGTGCCAGTGAGTGGTACGCTAGTTTGGGCTGTCGGGGTGGCCGTAGTGGTAGTCGCTCTGGAGTGCATCGTTCGGGAGCTTCTGGTAGTGGACAGGTGCAGCTGCCGTGTCCTGTAAGTGAGGCTGCCGCTCTAGGTGCTAGTACGTCTGTTGCCCTAGGTGCTGGTGAGGCTGCTACTCTAGGTGCTAGTGAGTCTGCGCCCCCTGGTACTGAGTCGACTGAGGCACTGCACACCTTCACCCTGGACTCAGGTGCTTCTCGCTGTTTCTTTCGTGACCGCACTGCCCTTGAGCCGCTTGCTCGGCCAGTTGCTGTCTCCCTCGCTGACCCCTCCGGGGTTCCGGTCATTGCGACCTCCTCCACTGTTCTTCCCTGTCCTGCGGTCCCGTCGGGCACACTGTCAGGTCTCCACCTCCCCTCGTTCTCTACGAACTTGGTGGCGGGTTGTGCGCTCCAGGATGCGGGTGTTCACCAGTTCACCCCTGCCTACGAGCGCGTGACACACTGCACGTGTGCTCGGACGGGCCGTCACCTGGCTACCTTCACTCGGCAGCCGGGGTCGGACCTGTACATACTGACCACTGAGTCCCCTCAGGTAGCTGCGTCTGCGTCTGCGTCAGGTCAGCTGTCGGCCCCCTGCTCGTGTCGCTCTCTGGCGCACGAGACCGTCCTCTGGCACCACCGACTTGGTCACCCGTCTGTGCAGCGCCTTCGTGCCATGCACAAACGGTACCTTGTCTCTGGTCTTCCCAGGGTTCTCCCTCCCCTCCCACCCTTGTCTGCTCCTCCCTGTCTTCCCTGTGTCGAGGGGCGGCAGCGCGCCGCTCCTCACTCCTCCTCCTTTCCCCCGACGACTGCTCCCTTGCAGATGCTCCACCTGGACGTGTGGGGCCCAGCTCGCGTCCGTGGACAGGGTCAGGAGAGGTACTTCCTGATTGTTGTTGACGACTACTCGCGCTACACCACGGTCTTCCCCTTGCGCACCAAGGGTGAGGTCCCTGATGTCTTGATCCCTTGGATCTGCAGAGCTCGTCTTCAGCTCAGCGAGCGTTTCCGCTCGGACTTTCCTGTCCTGCGTTTGCACTCTGACAGAGGTGGTGAGTTCTCCTCCGACCTCCTGGCAGCCTACTGTGCGGAG